CCAGAAAGGTGGGGTGGGGGACTGTGAGGAACGAGGCTTTGTTAGGGTGAGCAGGAAAAGAAGGGCCCAGCGTGTCGGGATTTCCGAGGGAAAGAAGTACTCTGAGGGGAAGGCAGAGGAGGGCACCTGGCCAGAACGGGGGTGCGGCTGAGAGTGGGCTGGCGCATTCCCATTCCATCAGACCCTCTGTTCCATCATCTGTCTGTCTCCCAGACCCATCCTCCCCAGCCTTGTCTTTGCCCTTCCTCACGACCTTGCCTCGGGCCTGCCCTTCTTAGGAATGCTCGGTTTGATACCCCTCCCACTTCCCTTGATGTTCGCTGTCCCTGTCTGATCTATCCCTTTTCCCCACCCCAACGTCCCATCTGTCCCCACGTTGCCCCTCCCCTCCCCAGGCCGAGAGCAGGCCGGGAGCCATGCAGGGGTGTGCGAGGGAGATCGATGCTACCCCGATGCCTCCTCCACCCTCATGCCCTTCGGAGCGAGTGACTGTGTGTAAGTGTGGTCCTCCTCTCACCGCCGCCCATGATCCATCTTCCATGGATGGGGGGTTGCTCAGGAGACTGGATGTGGGGGAGATAGCACATGGCTCCTGGGGGTGAGTGAAGGGGAGGCTGCTGCAAGAGCTTGCCTCCCTCCACAATTAGTCTGTCTCTTACCATTCCTATCCAGAACCGAACACCTCCCACGACTCACCCCCGCCCCCTGAACCCCCTTCATGGACAGATCCCCCACATCCTGGGGCAGAAGAAGCGTCGGGGGCGCCAGAAGTGGCGGCAGCAACAGCCACAGCAGCCAAAGAGAGGCAAGAGAAAGAGAAAGTGGGCAGTGGAGGGATCCAGGAAGAGCTGGTCCCCATGGTTGAGCTGGTCCCCGTGGTTGAATTGGAAGAGGCCATAGCACCAGGCATGGAGGTCCAGGGAGGCTCTGGATCTGGTGGGGTCTCCGGGGCAACACCGATGGTACAGCTACAGCAGTTACCACTAGGGGGCGATGGAGAAGAAGGGGGCCATCCCAGAGCCATTAATAACCAGTACTCCTTTGTGTGAGACACCCTACCCCGACCCTTTCTCCACTTTCTTGCCCCCCAGCTCCCAGTTCCTGCGACTGGGGCTGAACGGGGACGTATAGGAGCGGTAGGCACCCCCTTCCCATATGCTTCCTTTCCCTTGATGGCCAAGGGCATATACGTTGGTACAAGAAGAGGTTCAAGAGCTCTGTCAACTCCCCAGTTCATACACTACAGGTGCCCTATCCCCTGGGGAGGGGGTTCCGGCTCCATTACCTCCCCAAGGGGCTCTTATGGTCAGCCCCACCCCGGGGGGGCCATTTCCCCATTAACTACCCCCCAGCCCAAGGAAGGGTGAGGGGGAAGGGCTGTCAGTTAATATTAAGGTGGTTGTTGTTGTTGTTTTAAACAAAATGGAGAAGCATAAATAAATAAAAGGGTTTATCTCAGTTCGTTGTGGTGGCTGTGGCCAGTGTTTGCAGTGGGGGCTGGGACAGGTGGGTCACTCGTGCTGTGAGCTCCGGAGCTGAGAGGCAGAGGGCTGGGTCAGGTCTCGTGCCTGCTGCTGCCTTGGCCTGTGCTTTGCTCCTCTGTGGGCTGTCCTGTTTGTTGGGCGGTAAGTGCAGAGCCAAACGGTGCTTCTCGAGGTCTCTAGCCGAGTTCTCTTCATGGGAGAGGACAACGAACAGGCAGTGCTAACGATCTCCAAGGACCCCCTACTCCAAATTCCTCAGTGAAGGCTTCCTACCCTGGGTAGAAAGCAGGCAGAGAGAGATCACGGCAGTGGGGCTGGGGGCATGGTGGCTGTATTGGGGGAGGTTTAATGTGGCGGCTGTGGAATCTGGCTGCAGAGGGGTCCAAGGACAAGCTGATTGTCCCCCTTTCCAGATCCAAGCTGGGAAGCTGGAGAACAGATGGCAAAGAGCAGTAGCTTCTACTCCTGGCTTTGCCTCTTACTTGCTCTGTGGCCTGGGCAAGGTGTAGCCACTCCGGGCCTCAGCATCCTCATCGGTAAAATAGAAAGTTGCCTCTAGGTTGGAGCTGCCGACATCATTTGCTTGTCCTGGATAATGTTTCTTTCCATTGGAATTCCACATAAAAGTTCAGATTATTGGCTTCTTTTGAAAATCAGATGCTCCAGCCTCATGCAGTCCACCGTCCACATCTGCTCCATCCCCGCCAGATCACTTCACTCACATGACCTGCCTGGCCCTGTGGGTATTTGAGTTGGCAAAGTCTCCCCTTCCTCCTTGTGCCCACACCCCTACATCCGTTTAACCCAGACTCTGCTCTCTGAACTGCAGCTGTGCCCTCCGCCAGTGGAGGGCACCCCCAGGCTTCCCAGCTCTGCATGAGGTGGGTGCCAACAGGAAGGGGGCATATTCCGAAGACTCACTTATTTTGCTTTGCCCTCTCCCTTCCCACCTCCATTCAGCTCTGTTTCTTACCATCCTGCCTCTCCCCTTTCCTCCCAGGCGGCGTGCTGGAGTTCTCTGCCTCTCAGCCTCTGTCCCCACCTCTAGGCCCTACCCATGCTTATGACCTTGCTATTCTGGGCCTTGTGTCCTGTTGGGAGATGGACAGGAGACAGCTGGGCTCACAGGCCACCCAGGCTCGGGGCTAGCTGGGGGAAGCCTGCTGGCTCTCCCAGTTTTGTTTAATCCCTGGGACTCCCCAAAACCTTGGCTTCAGGAGACCAGGGATGGAATTGGCCTTGCAAAGGTGGGATGGTTTGGGGATCTGAGTGTTATATATTCTGAAAGGGAGATGGCGAGAAAAGACTATGGCGTCCCAGTGTAGGCAGGGCCTGATCCTCTCCTAATCTAGCAGCAACTGGTGCTACATGGCTCCCTCTCCCCCTAAACCCTGCCAGCTTTCTGGAACTTGCCTTCTGAAGATGGATAGGGAGGGATACATGGACCCCTCCTATACCCCAAGATTTGTATGCCTTGGCTGGAGGAACCTAAGAGATTATTTCCCTCTTAGCCCTTATGGATCATTCAGTTCAAGTTTGGAATTGGTCAGGGACTGGCCAGCCTCTACCTTCATGTCCTTCAGAACTAGACCTTTCCCATTCTAGGCATCAGCCCTCAGGTAGGGAGGGAAGCACACCTGCCAACTCTGGGCTCAGAGACCCCCGGGGGAGGGATCCGAGATCGAGAGTGACTCCTTGTGCGCCTGCTTCCATCCCAGTTCACCCTGATGGTGATGGCGTTTGCAGCTCTTGGCTGGTGCTTTCCCCCTCTGGCTTCATTTTCCCCCTCTGGGAAGTCGAGGGAGGTAGAGACGACTATCCTTAAAGGGCCCTGTTGGCAGCAGTGTCCTGTAAAGCCTGCCTCCTTTCCTCAGCCTCATGCTCTCAACTCCCTTGAAGCTGTGATCTGTCCAGTCTTCTCCCCCTTCTCCATGTTTGGGCATTCCTGCTTCTTTAAGACAGTGCTCCTGTCAATCCTCCAGGTGGTGGCAGGGAGAAACCAGCCAGTGCAAACAGCTTGGCAGATGCTGAGCCTGACTTTGGCCTGAGAAGGTGGGTGGGTGCTGGGCCAGGTGGAGGTGCCTGTCGGTGGACACTCATACCCCATTGTCTGAGCCCCCCTTTCCCCAGGTCACAGGAGGATTCCGCTTTAGGGGAGGGGTTTGTTGGAACCCTGAAGAGGGGGAGGGGAGGAGTACTGTGTCCTTAACTCACCCGGGAGGCTGCCCTCCCCTAAATCTAGGGGGAGGAAGGGATGCGTGTGGGGGACTAAATCCTTAAGTGCCATCTACTCCTGCTGGCCTACCCACTCTCCAAAAGTGGGGCTTCCCTTTCCTTTGCCTCGTTGTCTCCTGTACCACTGTCTGCTTAGGAACTTGAGCACCAGAGAGGGAAGTAGCCTCAACAACCCATTGAGTATACTATAATCCTCACTGTTCATTTCAGGAAATTGAGGCCTGAACCAAGGAAGGACTTGAGGTCAGGGTCGTGGGTGGGGCTGCATCCCCTCACTGACCTTTCACCATTACTGTCATCGAACCTGTCTCCTCTCTCTACTCTCCTTTACTGCCCCCACCACACCCCATGCTACCCTCCCACTGTTCCAGCAGCTGCCCTGGTACTAACCAAAAGATGCCCCCATCCCAGAGTGGGGGTGGGGTGGGGGGCTCAGAGCAGCTGCCTCTCTGGGGAAGCTGACACCAAGGCCAGCCGCTCAGCAACAACTTGTGGCTTTGCACCCAGCCCGTGGCCCCCACCTACCTGGCTGCCACATGCCAGCTCCCTGCTGTCCCTTTTCCCCACTGCTCCTCAGACTTCCCTCTGACCCTGGCAGCTCTGCTTCTGCTCCCCCAGCTCTGTTCTGGCTCTCTTTATTTTCCCTAGACTTGTCCCCATCAACCTGCCCCTGTCCATGCCTTTTGTCTGGAGCCTCTGCTGTATGCAGCTTCCCCAGGCCCCTTTCCCTGATGTCCCTTCTCCTGTGCGTCTTCCGATGGGGTGTGCCCAGGCCCAGGCTCAGAGCTCGGATCCTCCCTCTGAGGACAGATACTTCAGGGCCAGGTGGGGTGCAGACCACAGGCTGTCTGGGGGTCTGCCGGGTAAACCCCTTGGGTTAAAGAGAACAGTGTAGAGTGAGGTAACCCTTATTGCATGACTTGGGGTGACCCCCACCCCCATCCTAAAACACTTATCCCTCCCTCTCTGCCATCAGCACATTCTGTATGTAGCCTCTTGGGTTACCTTACTGCCTGGGTATCCCATTTTCTTCAGGGCGGGGATTCACTTTTAGGGATGGGGGGGCCCTGAAGGCTATGTTCCCAGAGGCTGAATTAGAGCAATGGGGGTGGGGGGGTTTAGGGGAGAGACAGGCAGTCCTGGCTTTGCTCGCCAGGGCCTGGACACTAAATCCCTTGTTGATGGCTGCAGCAGCCCCTCCCTGGGGTAGGGTTACCATCTTCTGCTCTGTCCCCTTGACCCTCTCCCCTCCCTGCTTCCCCTTATTCCTCTGGAGCCGCTTCCTCTCGCCCCCAAAGGATGTCCTCCCCCTCTTCTTCGATCCCCTTAAGGTTGGAGTTTCTCTGCTGTACTTTAAACCGACTAGGTGAGGAAGGAGGCCGGCGGGGACAGACAGGTTCAGGGTGGATGAGACGGGAAGTGGGAGCTGTGAGGAAAGTGGAAGGTGAAGTCCTGAGAGTAGCAGTGGGCTTAAGGGAAGAACTGAAGGGATGAGTTTGGAATAGGAAACTCAGTGCAATCGGGGAAGTTGAGGCCACTGGGGGAGGGGTCAGAAGCAGAAGACAGAAAGCGAAGTCTCTCCCTAAATCCCCCTCCTTCCCTGTGGCTGGGGCCACCTTAGCTTCCCTCTGAGTGACATCTCAGGCTGCAGCCCCACTGTTCCCCCTCTGTCAGCAGAAATATCTCTCTTCTGACCCCTCCTGCTGGAGTCTCTGCCAGCCAATCCCTGATCTGGGCGAGGGGGGAGCCCGGCCCCCCCCACTCCCTCATAAGGACCAGCTGGGGGCTGGGGGGTGGTGGCCGGCTGCTGCAAGTGGTACCGGGGTCAGAGCTTCGTGAAGGGAAGAGAAACCTGGGGGGGGGCAGGAGAGAAAACGGAAGAAGCCCAGACGAACAGGCAGGCGGACACACTGAGGAAGGCACCCCCCGCGTGAGGACCCCCCAGAAGGAACACCGCCCCCTGGCCCCCAGGACGGGAGCACCATGGAGGCTGCACACTCCAAGACCACAGAAGAATGTCTGTCTTATTTTGGTGTGAGCGAGACCACAGGCCTCACCCCGGACCAAGTGAAGCGGCATCTGGAGAAATACGGCCCCAATGGTAAGTGTTCTTTGAAGGAGAGGCTGGCAGTGCCCTCACGAGCCCCTGCAACACCCACACTCGCAAACGGTGGAGCCTCTCCCTCCAGGGTATCTTAGGGTAGAGCCGGGCTGGGCTCCAATGACTGCAGCAGGGAAGAGGGTACGGACGGAACAGGGTCCCTGAGAGCCAGAGTTCGGGGGGTTTATGGGATGACCTTGGTGAACCTCAGATGCCCCGTCCATGGCCTGATTCTGCTACCTTAGTCACAAACTCCTGGGTGTGGAGGCCATTGGACCGAACCCCAAATGAATATGTCCTTTTCTTCTTTTTCCCTCGATAGAGCTCCCTGCTGAGGAAGGTAAGTTACTGGAATCCCTGAGCTGTCATGTATGACTCCCTCTTCCCTCAGTGTCCCACTTCGTTCTCCCTGCCGTCTCCCTACCAACTCCTGTGCAAACGCCCCTCCCCAAAAGTTAGGGTCTGGTTGGGGGCAGAAGTTTCCGGGCACTTGCTCCTTGAGGCATCCAGCCCTTGAACAGTTGCCCGTTGCTCAGAGGAAGGAGCCTGTTTCTGAGGCCTTGGCAAGCCCCTCTGCCCTTCTGTAAGTTCTGGGCCCGTGGCCCCAGAGCCTCACTGTTCCAGGCTCGAAGTCAGGACACTCTCAGCCTCTGGACCCCAGCTCGCACCCGGAGTCCAAGCGGATCATCCACTAGGCCTTAACCCCGGGGCGGGCTCCTCCTCTTGCCTCTTCCCCCAGGGAAGTCCCTGTGGGAGTTGGTAGTAGAGCAGTTTGAAGACCTCCTGGTTCGGATCCTCCTCCTGGCTGCCTGCATTTCCTTCGTAAGTGTGCGAGCACATCTGGGGGACGGTGGGGCATGTGGGCTGGGGGATCTGGAGAGTGCTGGGGGTTGGGTTCCAAATCACAGGCTGCTGTGGCCCAAGCCCTCAGCATCCTATTCTGCAGACCAGACTGAGGGAGGTGGGGCTCGTTTTTGTCATCTTCTGTCCTTCCCCCACACCCCACAGGCAAGTTTTATTTTAAGCTTTAAGAGCGTTCTCAGCCAAAACACAGAAGCTAAGCCACCCCTGAAGCTTCAAGGGCTCTGACGGCTCAGGTTACCCCCTGAGCCGAGGGCTCCCCAGCTCAGAGACTGCTGCCACCCGAGCGAGGCACCACTACTCCCTGCATGCCCTGGGCACATGCAACAGCCTACCAATCCTGAGCATCCTAGCGCCCCTGCCCCGCCCTTCTGGCAGTGATTGGTGGAGGCAGACTCCCTCCCAGAGGCGGGAAAGAGCTGCTGGTGTGAGGGTAACTCCAAACGCTGGAAGGCCCAGACTCCTCACTCTGGCCTTGCCTCCCTACCCCTCCCTCATCAGGGCTGGAAGTCCTGAGATCCCCCTCCTCACCAGTGTGGCCTGACTTTCCCTTTCCCTGCCCTCCTCAGGCTCCGCACAGCCTCAGGGCTGGCCTCGCGCCCTCCTCAAGGTCCCGGCACCTCTGGTGTCCTGGAGTTCCCCTCGGCACCCACCTTCCCAGCAGTCCATTCTGCATTTGGGAATTTCTCCCTTAACATCTTAGTCCTGCTGGAAGACAAGACTCTGGAGGCAAATAAGCCTCCGTGTCCCCTGGTCTCCTTAATGGAGGGCCTGTGGGCCCCTGAGCACTCGTTGGCAGGGCCTCACTTCTCCCGTCTCAGATTTGCTCCTTGACATTTGCCTGTGGCTGTTGCCTTTGCCTGGCAGAGGCAACAGCTGGGGTGGGGTGTGTACAGGAGGCCCAGTAACACTATCCCCCCTCTTCTGCTCCCTCATGAAATTGGAGCTACCCTGGCTTGGGCTGTGGGGGAGGGGTGTGGGTGGGCCAGGCGCCTGTGAGGACCACAGGGTTTTTCCTACTGAGTTTTGGCTCCCGGGGGATGGATGTGGCTGTGGGGGTATTTGGCCTGGGTGTCCCCTGAGCTTCGTTTACAAGCCAACAGTCAGTCGGGGAAACCTGAAAGCATTCCTACTTAATCCCTGAGTTGTGCGTATCTGCGCCCGCCTGTTCGCGCTGACCATCAGCAGTGGCGGTGCCTGTGTGAGCATGCGCCTCAGAGTGCAGAGCCTCACGCCGATGAGTGATGCAGTACCCCTGTGATACCCGCCCCATGTGCTCCTGCGCATGTTCTCATCTTCATTTGCTTTTTTCTCTTTTTACCTCTTGGAGGGGCTCCGTTTCCTATTATTCTCCCTTTCCTTGCTTCCCAGGTGCTGGCCTGGTTTGAGGAAGGTGAAGAGACTGTTACCGCCTTTGTTGAACCCTTTGTCATCCTCTTGATCCTCATTGCCAATGCCATTGTGGGGGTTTGGCAGGTTAGCTTTGACCCCGCCTCACTCCTTCATATCCCCCCCTCCACACACTGAACAGGAAGCCGTCCTCCCCCCACCCTCCTCCATCACTTTCCTCAGGCTCACCTTGTTTTCTGGTCCTGTCGCTCCATTTGGAAATGAGACAGAGTATTGGAAAAAGTGGGGGACTGTCGTTCCCACTGTCACTTGCTGGCACTGTAACCCCGGGAAAGTCCCTCCATCCCCCTGGGCCCCAGTTTCCTCATCTGGAAAATGGAGCCGACAAGCCTGTCCCTCCGAGCTGTGGTGAACTCTCGCGAGATGAGGGGTGCGGAAGCCCTCGGCCCTGCGCCTGGCGTGCAGTAGGAGCTCGGCAAACACCAGTTTGAATTTCTTCTTTCTCCTACGGTAGCACCCTCTGCTTCTCCTGTCCCCTGCTTTCTGATTTTATTTGGTTCTCCTTTTTTGTCTCCCTAAAACCCGATTTTCAGCCATAAGTGACAGTTTACTCAACACAAGCACGCGGACGCTCACATGGAGCTTGTCTCTGTCCCTGTGCCAGGAGCCAGGCCTGCATGGCCTCCCTCCTCCTCTGTGATCTCCCTGTTGGCCCCAGGACTCTGGCCCCCGCTCCACCATCTCTACACGCCCCACGCACCCCACGCCCACCACAGCCTTCCCTCTCCACGACCTTCCTCCTGTGATGACCCTCCTGTCCTCCACCCTGTACTCCCAGGAACGTAATGCAGAGAATGCCATTGAGGCTCTGAAAGAATACGAACCCGAGATGGGGAAGGTCTACCGGGCCGACCGCAAGTCGGTGCAGAGGATCAAGGCTCGGGACATTGTACCCGGGGACATTGTGGAAGTGGCCGGTGAGTGATGGGAACGAGTGGTCCAGAATGGGTTCAAGGCCAAGAAGATGAGTATGTTGGGGGTTGGGGCTGGTCAGTCTGGTCCTGGTTTCCAGGAGGTGGCCAGAATGGTGGAGTCTTTGCTTCTCCTTCCCAGACTCCTCAGGAGGTCGCCCCAGGGCACTGTGGCCGAAGTACCCCCTCCCCATCAGAGTCTCAGCGGGAACAGCCAGTCCTGTCCCTGAAGCTGCAGGCAGACCCCCTGCTCCCCCCGCCTCTCACCCAATACTTGCAAGCAACAGGTGGAACCCAGTCCCTGCCAATGGTCCCATCTCCACCCCCCTCCTAAGGCCTGGCTTCCCTATCCTTTCACCCACCCCCAAGCTTGGTCAGCCTTAAATCTTGACCTCTCAGTGCCCTTGAGGCCTCTCAAAGGGGAAGGAGTGAGAGTAGAAGGGAGAGGGGGGGCCAAAGGCTCAAGCCCCCGACCATGTAAGGGAAACTCAGTCCCCAGCAGAGAACACGGGACCTGGGAGGAGAGCTCAAGGAGGGGCCCCGCCTCTCTGGTGAGGGACACTTAATGCCTGACCAGGGAGAGGTGGGGGCTGGGTGGCTAAGATTACTGGGATTCTGCCCCCTTCAGCGGTTTTTATATTTGCCCTTCGCAGGCCTTCCCACATCTCCAGGCCGCTGGCATAAGGGGATGTGTCTTTCTCATGGGCTTCCCTCCACCAGACACCTCCGTCGCCACCATGGGAAACTTGGAGCGGGGGTGGGCAGACTGAAGACCCCAGTGCCCCATCGCAGGGCTGTCTTGCTATGGAGACAGTTTAGAGTCAGCGCCATGAATGTCTATAAATATCACTTCAACTTGGGTGACAGGGTGTCCCGCCCAACTCCATGGCCAACCTCCTCCCGCCTCCATCAGTTTCCTCTGGCACAGGAGGTGGGACCTTAGCAATGAGGGAGGAAAGCAGTCAAACCCGGTCCCCAGAAGCATCCTCGGGACCAGGCAGGATTGGGCAGAGGTCCTGGGAGGCATTTAGACTCCTCGGAGGTCTCCAGTCTGGCAGGGCATCCGCTCCGAGGCTCGCCCCCAAGGTGGCTTCCGCACCGGGCCCTCCCCACGGCTTCTCGGCTCCAGGCCGCGTGCTGCTCTCCCGGTCCCTCCTTCCCTCTGCGCTGCGGGCCTCCCCTTCTCGTCTGCCCATCTCCCCAGGGCACTCACCCAGTCTCCTGCCCTTCCTCGGATGCTCGGACTAGACAGCGGTTTCAGACGTGTGTCTTCTCCATGTGGGCCTGTCCCCTCTGCCTCAGTGGCCCCCCCCCCCTCCTGCGTCTTCCCTTCTCACACTGCCTCTCCCTCACTCTCTCCTGCTTCTTGCTCTGCCTCGTGCCGCGGTTGATGTCGATTTTCTCAGTTCCCATATTTCCTCCTGTTTCTTCCCACTTTCCCTGGCTGTTCCACTTCACTCTCTTCCCCGACACATGTCCCTCCAGTCACCGTGTTTTCTTTAACTGTTCGCTTGCCTGTGCCTTCTCACCTTTCTCCCTCGTTTCCCGCTCTGTTTCGCGGTTCCGCATTGTCAGTTTTAGTTTCTCGTCATACAACAGGATTCTTCCTCATTTTCCCTTCAGTCACTTAACATAAGTTTACTCGGCATACCAGACAGTGTGCCAGACTCTTCCTTCACGGGGCTCAGAGCCCAGTGGCAAGGGGCACTTTCCACGACGGGGTCAACTGGCGTGAGCGTTAGGAGGGAGGTGCCGGGGCTACGGCAGCACCTGCTGAGGGCCTGGCTGTAGCGCGGGGGCGGGCACCTAGCCTAGGTGACCGCCAAGAGCTGAAGGATGAGGTGGGGTAGTGGGACGAAAATTGAGTATTTCTTAGGAAGGCAGAAAAATATTTTCTCAACTGACTTCACTCTTCTCCACTTTCTCCACAGTGGGCGACAAAGTCCCCGCAGATATCCGCATCCTCTCCATCAAATCCACCACCCTCCGGGTTGACCAGTCCATCCTGACAGGTCTGCGCCCGAGGGGGAGGGTGCATCCGGGGAGCATGGGGGAGGGTCTGAAGAGGAAGAGCTGGCAGACAGACAGGGATGAAACGCTAGGTGCAAAGAGAAGCCCCAGCAGCAGGGCCCGCTCCTGGCTCCACAGAGGCAGCAGGGGCAGCACCAGCAGCTTCATTCACTGCTGCAAAACTGCAGTATGAGGAGGGGGGTGGAGCGTTTGTGCCCATTCTCCAGACGGCCGTTGACCCGTCCCTTCCGCACAGACACACGGGTGCATATGCACCCAGAGAGCTCCTGTCTCCTCCAAAGCCCTCAAGTAAAGAGCTCCAGAAGCTAGGCCAAGGTGCACTTAAAAGGCAGCTGCCACTGTGTCTCCACTGGGAGAGAGGGTGGTGATGAGCCAGTAACCATGCCCACGGACCAGGGCGGCAAGGCTTGCCTGGCCTGGGCTGACTGTCTGAGCCCCTGCCGTCCGGGAGTGGCAGGTAGGATCCCGCGGGTCGGGGCCGCTCCCTCCCAGGAGCGTGCTCTTCAGTGGACAGTGCGCTGTCACATCAGTCAGCCTGTTTGATGCCACCAAAACCTTGTTTTGAAGTGTACATGTTGTCATCGCCACCTTACAGAGGACCGAATTCATGTAGCTTGTAAGTGGTAAAGCCAAGGCTGGGGCTGAGGTCTTTTTGCCCTAAGAGCAGTGACATTCCCATCTGCCTGCGGTGGTTCCTTCCAGATCCAGACTTCCTCTACGATTGCCACTTGGCCCTTACCAGGCCCTAGGCTGCCGAACAGAGTGGGGAGTTAGGGAAGAAAAGGGGAAAGACGTGACGTCATCTGAAACCCCCCATTGTCCCCTTCTCAGGCGAATCTGTATCTGTCATCAAGCACACAGACCCTGTCCCTGACCCCCGAGCTGTCAACCAGGATAAGAAGAACATGCTCTTCTCGGTGAGCCACCAAGGGCCGGCTGTTGCACACTCCTGCCGGAGGCCCTGGATGGGGAGACACACGTCAGTGTGACGAGAGATGAGCCCCACAGTTGAGGGACTGTTCCACGAGCACTGCCTCTCACCCGATTTCTCGCCTCTTCTTCACCCTCCCAGGGCACCAACATTGCAGCCGGCAAGGCCATAGGCATCGTGGCCACTACGGGCGTGAGCACCGAGATTGGGAAAATCCGCGACCAGATGGCCGCCACGGAACAGGACAAGACCCCTCTGCAGCAGAAACTGGATGAGTTTGGGGAGCAGCTCTCCAAGGTCATCTCTCTCATCTGTGTGGCTGTGTGGCTCATCAACATTGGCCACTTCAACGATCCCGTCCATGGGGGCTCCTGGTTCCGAGGTGCCATCTACTACTTTAAGATCGCTGTGGCCCTAGCTGTGGCTGCAATCCCAGAAGGTACAGCAGTCTCTCCCCACCCCGCCCCCTGCATTTGCTAATCTCACCTGCAAAGACCCTTTTTCCAAACAAGGTAACATTTATAGGTTCCAGGGAGCGGGGCCTGTTATCTTGGGGAGGTCACTCCTTCCCATCTCTGTTATTGTTCCTTAACCCCTCTTCTTCCCCCCACAGGCCTCCCTGCAGTCATCACCACCTGCCTGGCCTTGGGCACCCGCCGGATGGCAAAGAAAAACGCAATTGTCAGGAGCTTACCCTCTGTTGAGACTCTCGGCTGCACCTCTGTCATCTGTTCTGACAAAACAGGCACCCTCACCACCAACCAGATGTCTGTCTGCAAGGTCAGAGAAGGGTGGGCAACTCCCATTCAGAAGACCGCCCTTGGGTGAAACGAGCCTTCCAAAGATGGTGGTGCCCCTTCATCACTGACCACTCCTCATTTTGACCTGGGAAAGAAATGCTCGGAGGGCAGATAGAGCGCCATCCTGTGAGCTACGAGAGGGATCAGAGCGGCCCCTCTGTGCAGCCCAGTAGCTCTCTACAGCCACCTCCACGTGCCAGACATTGCCCTGTTCTCTCTAATCCTCCACAACAGCCCCATCAGGGAAAGGCCTTGTTCACCCCATTTTCTGGAGGAGGAAACTGAGGCTCTGGAAAACTCAGTGCACAGTTAGTAAGAGCAGAACTCGGTTTCAAACCCAAGTCTGTCTGGCCCAGAGCTCCTGCCTGTGCACCAGACCGCCCTCCGGAACGGTCATGCACCGCAGGGGCCGGGGGAGCCCGGCACACTCATCTCGAGAAGCATCTCCAAAACCGGGGCGCTTAATGTTTTCTGTGCCTTGGGCTCTGGCAGTCTGGACCTCTCGTCAGTATATTTTAAATGTATAAAATAAAAAAACATAGGATTCTGTTTTAAAAATACACCAGATTACAGAGGAAACGAGTGATGTAAACACAGTTACCAAAATCTTTAAAAAAGCAAATTTGTGATTTGGTAACACTTAGGCTTCTTTATGAAGACATTTAAGTAGCAAGTCTAGCAGGGGGTCTAAGCACTACTGCGATGCAGAAGCCGTAGTCCGCTGCCTGCTTCATGATCGAAAGGAGATGCTAACTGTTGGAGAGGCAATAAAAGGTGTCTTTTTTTGCCATCAGAGTTCACAGATCCCCCCCTTAGTGGGGTTGGGATCATCCATGGACTGACCCCTCAAGCCAAGAACCCCTGCCATAAACAGTGTTCTTGGAATAGCATGTCCATGAAAGATAAATTGTCGTTCCGGGAACTGAGGACTCTGTGGTCAGACCGGGATGAGAAAGGCTGTACCCTTGGCCCCTTGGGAAGACCCATTCACCTCTGGGCATTGGAAGGCCTCGGAGAAGGCTGACTGTAAAGAGGGTGGATTTCACTTTGTTTAACCCAGAGTTTCCCAAACTGGCTTTGACCACAGGACTGTTTTGTCTTGGAATATGTCTTAACCCCTGTCCCTTCCACACTTGCCCTGGTTCACCGTGGGCTGCTCCCCTCTGAGCACTACACACTCAACATCCTTCTAAAGCACAGGCTTCAAAGCCAGACTGCAGGCTTGTACAGCCTGGCTCTTGTCATGTTCCATAAAAAATGAATTCATTGCCTGCACTTGAAAGCCAAGAGATTCCATAGGAAAATAAACTGAATTTCCAGCTGTTACTGCAAAACTAGGAGATCTGGCCACAAGTGTCTGGACCTGTATATGGGCCATGTGCCAACAGGTGGACTGGTAGCCTCAGTCCCTGCCCCACCTTGTTGCGCATGTCTTACCTTTTGTCTAAGGCCACTGACCGAACATGGAGAATGATCGCAAGGGCGTGGTGGTAGAGGGGAGGATGCAGGGAGAAAAAGGAGAGGCAGGTCGGGGTGGTGGGAAGTTAGTCTGCACAGGGGGCCCGGCAGAGGGACGTTCAGAGCCTGGGCCCCCTCAGCGCAGACTGCCTTCGGGGCGTGGGGGGAGCTACACATCTGTGCACGTGCCCTTCCCCCCACAGATGTTTATCATCGACAAAGTGGACGGGGACCTCTGCGTTCTGAACGAGTTCTCGATCACGGGTTCCACTTATGCTCCAGAAGGAGAAGTGTAAGTTCCCCTGGGGTCTGCTCCTCAGCTCCTCATGCCCCCTCCACACACCCTGCCTTTCTCCTTGGGGCTCTCCATTTAGTTTTGTCTGCCTTTCTCTGTCTTCTGCCTTCCCCTGACCTCCTTCTCTGTCCCGCCTGATCTTGGTTGCCATCTCCCTGACTGCGCCTCGCTGCTTTCCCCTTGCTCTCTCTGTATCTCATTTCCTATTCTTCTCTACTTGTTTCTTTTCCTTCCTTCCTCCCCACCTCGCTGCCAGCTTGAAGAATGATAAGACAGTCCGGGCAGGGCAGTATGATGGGCTGGTGGAGTTGGCCACCATTTGTGCCCTCTGCAATGACTCCTCCTTGGACTTCAACGAGGTAACCTCTGCACCCCTGAAGCAGCCCCTCCTTCCCTTCCAGCTGGCTCAGAGTCCAGGTGTCCTCAGCAGGTCACAAGGAAGGGGTCATAGGAAGGGGGCCCCTGAACCGAGTCTTTCCTGGGTGGAAGAGGAAGGGAGTGGTTTGTTCCCTTCTCATTCTAGGTGGAAGGCAGGTATATTGGTGGGAGCAAGGGACCAGGAGCCCAGGGCACTGGGCTCTTTCTACTACTTTCTTCTACCCTTTCTACTACTTCCCCTTCCTCCTCTGCCCTCTCAGGCCAAAGGTGTTTATGAGAAGGTAGGCGAGGCCACCGAGACAGCACTCACTACCCTAGTGGAGAAGATGAACGTATTCAACACTGACGTGAGAAGCCTCTCAAAGGTGGAGAGGGCCAATGCCTGCAACTCGGTGAGTTTGGCTGCTCCCTCCCCTGGGGTCCTTCTTCGACCCCACTGCAGAATCCGGGCAGGACCCAATGAGCCTCAGGAAGCAGAGGCTGGCCAGGGTCCTTGTGCTTCATGCTGGGACCCCAGCCGGGACAGACAGGTGGCCTGTCCACAGGTTTTTCTCCGTCAGGCTGACTTCGAGTAGGACCTGCTGCCCCTGGACCAGTGCTGTTCTTTCCACTGCCCGGCCGCAGCATTCCTCGATGAATTTAAAATCACTTCCTCCTGTTCTGTCCCCAGTTGAAAAGGAATGGAGCTGGACACGGAAACCACAAGTGACCCATCCTGGGGCAGCCCCACCTTCAGCTATCACGCCTGTGTCTCTAGAAGCACATTTGTTTTTATAAGGTCTCAAGCCCTGATCTAGGGTTCGGGACACGTGACTACTGCACGTTCTTTCACTTCCCCTTGCCAGATAAGCACGCCCAGTTCTATTCCCCTCACTCTGAGTTCTTGCTCTTCGTATTTACTCAGTCAGTGTCTACACTGAACTCCTCTGGGGGCTATGTTCCCCGTATCACCCAGTCTTATATGTGTGCATGTGTGCAGGACACTCATGTGTATGTCAGTAGATGTTTGATATCAATTTTAATCATTGACAAATGACATTTTTACATTTAAAAAAATTTAAAAGTCCTAGCCCCGGCTGGTGTGGCTCAGTGGATTGTGTCGGCCTGCAAACCAGAGGGTTGCCAGTTCGATTCCCAGTCAGGGCACATGCCTGGGTTGCGGGCCAGGCCTCCAGAAGGGGGCACATGAGAGGCAACCACACATTGATGTTTCTCTCCCTCTCTTTCTCCTTCCCTTACCCTCTCCAAAAATAAATAAATCTTAAAAAAAAAATGTATAAGCCCTGACTGGTATAGCTCAGTTGGTTGGGCGTAGTCCTGCAAACTGAAAGGTCACCGGTTCAATTCCTGGTCAGGTCACATGCCTGGGTTACAGGCCCAGTTCCCACTCGGTGCATGAGCAGTAGGCAACCGATTCATGTTTCTCTCACACACTGATGTTTCTCTTCCTCTCTTTCTCCCTTCCCCTCTGTCTAAGAATAAATTAAGTATTTTTTAAAAACTTACAAGTGATAATATAAACACAAAGTTTATTTATTGTTATTTTTATTCTCGTTTTTATTTTATGGAGAAATATCTGTGATGCATTTGGTGAAAAAAGCTCTCATTCATTTTTTTTAAAAAGATTTTATTTTTTTTTTAGAGAGAGGGGAAGGGAGGGAGAAAGAGGGACAAAAACATCAATTTGTCGATGTGTGTGTGAGAGATATCGATCAGTTGCCTCTCGCACACCCCCAACTGAATACCTGGCCCGCAACCCAGGCCTGTGCCCTGACTGGGAATCAAACCAGTGACCTTTTGGTTCACAGGCTGGCATTCAATCCACTGAGCCACACCAGCCAGGGCTCATTTATTTTTATGGAGCACTTATTATATGCCAGGCACTAGTTCTGCACTGTCCCAACCGCACGTCTCAAGAAGCACACATGTGGTTAAATTAAAATTAAGTGTAAGAAAAACTTGATTCTGCAACTGCACCAGCCACGTGTCCCGTGCTCAGTGGCCGTCACTCAGTCGTACCACTACTAGATATTCTGTTGGGCAGTGCCACCCTACACATCTTCTCCTGTACTTTAAACAAGACACACTGTCCCACAGTGGTGGCACTAGCCTTGGAAATCTCTGTGTTGGTGCTGTTAGGTGCCACACTTGGCTTGACTGGGCTTGGGGTCCACTGGACCGCAGACCCTCTTGATTATGTTTGAAGGGGCCCGGGGCCATTCCCTTCTGGCACAGTGTCCTCGCTCTTTCACCACCCATCTCATGTCTGGCCTCCCCCTCCCTGTCTCCTCTCTACAGGTGATCCGCCAGCTGATGAAGAAGGAATTCACCCTGGAGTTCTCCCGAGACAGAAAGTCCATGTCTGTCTATTGCTCCCCAGCCAAATCCCGGGCTGCTGTGGGCAACAAGATGTTCGTCAAGGTCAGAAATCAGAATGTGCCCTGGCCCCTTTCCCTCCTAATCCCGGGTCCCCCTCCTATACCTGCCCGCTCACTGTGCCCTGGAAGGGAGATTGTCGTCTCTGAATGCCGTTCTGGTCTCCTAGGGTGCCCCTGAGGGGGTCATTGACCGTTGTAACTATGTACGAGTCGGCACCACCCGGGTGCCGATGACCGGGCCCGTGAAGGAGAAGATCATGTCCGTGATCAAGGAGTGGGGCACTGGCCGGGACACCCTGCGCTGCCTGGCTCTGGCCACCCGGGACACACCCCCGAAGCGAGAGGATATGGTCCTGGATGACTCTGCCAAGTTCATGGAGTATGAGGTGAGCAGCTGGAAGCCTCCCGTTGCCCCAGAGTCACCGCCTCACCTCCTCCACCACCCGTCACATCCTACTTTGTCATGGGCCATAGAATCACCAGGCATTAGAGTTTGAAAGAACCGCAGTGCCACTTTACGTGCGATCTGTGGACCTGTCTGTGATGAGGTGAGGTGCTTGGACACAGCAGGACAGAAATCAGCTATCACTAAATATACTCCAGTTCAGCTGACGTGTTTCCACAGTGAGATTTCCCTGATGCAAGAAGCAGCGTGTCGACCTACATTCTGGTACAAAGCTCCTTTTACCTGTAGTGGACTGGCTCTCTGGAGAGCACCAAGGTCCACACCCTTCCTTTTAGAGAGGGGACACTGTGGCATGACTGTTCACACAGATTCGCTCAGAGTTGTAGACCAAGCGAGTGGCCCTTCTGAAAGCAGAAACCACTGCCCTAACATTACATTCAGCTCTTCCTGTGACAGACACAGTCTGCCCCTTACAGTGGGTCCGGCGCTGCCAAGCCTGTGGGTGTGCGTGTGAACAAGGAGCTCCTCCTGCCCCTGAGTTTACAGGGCCCTGCTGAGGTTTAAACACCAGGCCCAGAGTCAGCTCTTCCCCCGGCTCAGGCCTTTCTCCCCAGCTCCCCAAGAGCACCCTCCACGGATCAGTCTTGGAGCCCCTCGCTGACCTTGCCACCCTCTGCTCTGTCTCCCCAGCTGGACCTGACATTCGTTGGCGTGGTGGGCATGCTGGACCCTCCACGGAAGGAGGTCACAGGCTCTATCCAGCTGTGCCGTGATGCTGGAATCCGAGTGATCATGATTACCGGGGATAACAAGGGTACAGCTATTGCCATCTGCCGACGAATTGGCATCTTTGGGGAGAACGAGGAGGTGACAGACCGAGCTTACACTGGCCGAGAGTTCGATGACCTGCCCCTGGGTGAGCAGCGGGAGGCCTGCCGACGCGCCTGCTGCTTTGCCCGAGTGGAGCCTGCCCATAAGTCGAAGATTGTGGAGTATCTGCAGTCTTACGATGAGATCACGGCTATGGTGAGACCAGTGGGGCTGCCCAGGCTGGGGCGCTGTGGAGTCTTGCATGGGGCAGTCTGCTTAGTGCCCACTGAGACCACTGTCTTCAGGAGCTGGGGGCCCGGGGAGGGAGGAGCCAACGGCCCCAGTCAGATGCACAAGAGGTGTGCGGGAGGGGCCAGGTCCCACCTCTGTCTCCCCTCAGACAGGCGATGGTGTCAATGACGCCCCAGCTCTGAAGAAGGCTGAGATCGGCATTGCCATGGGCTCCGGCACTGCTGTAGCCAAGACCGCCTCTGAGATGGTGCTGGCTGACGACAACTTCTCCACCATCGTGGCTGCTGTGGAGGAGGGCCGGGCCATCTACAACAACATGAAGCAGTTCATCCGCTACCTCATCTCCTCCAATGTGGGCGAGGTGGTCTGGTGAGCAGCCAGGGCGGCACCCACGAGGAGCCAGGTCAGGGTGGGGGATGGGCACAGGTCTAGGGGCAGGACGGACTTCAGGTCTAGGGGCAGGACGGACTTGTGACCACCTCCTTCTGGCAGCATTTTCCTGACGGCTGCCTTGGGGCTGCCTGAGGCCCTGATCCCCGTGCAGCTGCTGTGGGTGAACTTGGTGACTGATGGGCTCCCGGCCACAGCCCTGGGCTTCAACCCGCCAGACCTGGACATCATGGACCGGCCCCCCCGGAGCCCCAAGGAGCCCCTCATCAGTGGCTGGCTCTTCTTCCGCTACATGGCAATTGGGGGTGAGTAGGGTGAAACTGCGCGATCTTTTCCAAGCCCCCAAACTGACCCCTCTGGGACACCAGCCTCTCCAAAGCAGTTTCCCTGGTCGCTCCTTTTCCCCAGCCCGCTGTTTGTGGCCAACAGGTCCGTTTGATGCCTCCCATTTCCCAGCCCTAACCCCCCAACTCCCACCTTCTTTCTACCACAGGCTACGTGGGCGCAGCCACTGTGGGAGCTGCTGCCTGGTGGTTCCTGTACGCGGAGGACGGGCCTCATGTCACCTACAACCAGCTGGTAGGGAGGGACTGGTGAGGGAGGGTGGAGGGGCACAGGGTGGCCTGGAGGCTTTGGTGGGACCCCAGTTCCTTCCCGCTGCAGACCCACTTCATGCAGTGCACCGAGGACAACCCCGACTTTGAGGGTGTGGAGTGTGAGATCTTTGAGGCCCCTGAGCCCATGACCATGGCCTTGTCTGTGCTGGTCACCATCGAGATGTGCAACGCTTTGAACAGGTAGGACCCGCACAGCCTCCCCTGCCACCTTGCCCTCTACGCTCCTGTCTCCCCCTTCACCACCCGTTCTTCTGTGTTCTCCGCTCTCGCCTCCGCCTGGCCATCCACGTGCAGCCTCTCTGAGAACCAGTCCCTCGTGCGGATGCCGCCCTGGGTGAACATCTGGCTGCTGGGTTCCATCTGCCTCTCCATGTCCCTCCATTTCCTCATTCTCTACGTTGACCCTCTGCCGGTGAGCCTTCTGGCCAGGGTCACCCATTCCCCAGCTCACACGGAGCCTCTGTAGCGGCCCATGACCACTGTAACTACAAGCACTCACAAAGGGAAGGTGGGGTCAGGTTGGGGTGGCACTGGGTCCTCTGGCCCCTGCCTGCCCCCTCCTCAGAGGGGCACTTGGCCTTCTCACTGCCCTGACGGCCCCTCCCAGATGATCTTCAAGCTCCGCGCCCTGGACCTCACCCAGTGGCTCATGGTCCTCAAGATCTCATTGCCAGTCATCGGGCTCGACGAACTCCTTAAGTTTGTTGCTCGGAACTACCTGGAGGGTAAGCGGCTTCCCTCCTCTGAGCACCGCCAGCCCCTGGGCCCTGAGTACAGCCCCTTCCCCTCTGCGCTGCGAAGGCGCCCGCCCCCACCCTTTTCCTTTTCAGGTGGGTGTGTTATCGGTCCACCAGGGAGGAGCACCCCGGCCCCCTTCCTCCCCTCCCCACCCCTCTATGCCTAGAGCAGACACCTTCTCCTCGGTGCCCCCACGACCACCTCAGGCCTCTTAGCCCTACGTGCCCCCCTCCAATAACGGCTGTCTCTCTGTCCTCTCTGGCCATAGGATAACTCGTTCCCCCTCCTCCATCTCTTTGAACCGTGTCACAGGTATCTCCCTTCTTGCCCTCACGCCCAGCTGCTGTGGCACCCGAGGCCACTTGCGTTCGCACACCGCCACTGCCGTGCTTCCAAGCCAGGGGTGGGCTGCTGCCCTTTGTGGGTCGGCACTGCCCTGGCCTCCGGGCACCACTGTGCCTGCTGCGCTGCGCTGCGTTGCGCTCGCTGGGCATTGCGCTAGCTGGGCGCTGCGCTGTCTGCCGCTGGGGCTGCACTGGTTGGGCGTGGGATCTGGGGGCACAGGTGGCTAAGGGGGCGCTGGGCAACCCCCAGGTGAGTCTGCAGAGGGGGCAGCGAGCCTGAGACTGACTGTTCCCCTCCTGCTCCTCCCTCAGCCCTCCCTTTTCTCCTTCCAGATCCAGAAGATGAAAGAAGGAAGTAACCGGTCCTTTTGCCCCTTATCCCCACCCTGATAGTGACACATCTTCAGCCTGAGCTGTGGCACAGACCCCACATCCCCTCTCCCCCTCCACATTCTTGTTTATAAACACGGTGTCCCCTTCACTGTTCTTCCCCACCCCAGCAACCCTCCCTTTTACCCTATAACACCTCCCCTTCCCCAACCACGTGGGGCTTGCAGGGACAAGGCTACCGACTGAGCTGAGCTGCTTATTTATTGAAAATAAATGACAGAAAAGTCTGGCCTTGCCTCCATGCACATCTTGGGGCCTGGGTCTGGCCCTCGGGGACAAGCATCTTAGTGTCATGCAGTCCAGAAAGCAGCTGCCTGTCCAGGGCGCATGTAGGGACAGAGGCTCCCAGCCACCACCCACAGCCTGGCTATGCCTTAGGAAAGGGGGCGGGAGGGAGACTGGCAGTCTGGCTGGGGGACGGGGGCATGGGGGTGAGGGCCCAGGAGGCAGCATAGCAGCCAGAAAGTCACAGGGCTGAGCCTGCACCTTTGGTTCTAGGGGGTAGTTGGGACCCTCACACAGTGTCATCCTTGGGAGCAGAAGGCCCAGTCACTCCTGGGAGGAGGCCCTGGAGGGCCAGTGTGGTGGTGGCCCCATCCCCTAAACCCCAGGCTTGGAGAGGGGGAAGACTCCATCCTGAGACCCCCAAAGCTTAGGCTTAATGGTTCTGCAGTGGAGAAAGGCAGTCTCCCCATAGCGGGTGGGTTTGGCCTCTCAGGAGTCCTTGATGTCCCTGATGTCCCTGAGGGGCGCCTCATCCATGATGCTCCGCACTTGCTCCAGACTCTCTGCCTGGCGGATCTGTTCCAGGCGCACCTGGGAGGGTCCAGTGAGGAAAGCAGAGGGCCCTTGGTGCAGCCCTGACCCCACTTGCCAGCCCCCAAGGGGCAAGGGCCCAGTACCAGTGTGCCCAGGGGCCCCACCTACCCCAACCTATGGCAAAACCAAGTTCAAGGGGAAGAAACAGGTCCCAGGGGAACAGCCTGAGGAAGTACGGGGCAGGGGCAGATGATGTAATGAGCACGCCACATGTGTCCGTGGGCCAGGTCCTGGGCTGGGGGCTTCCCGTGACCAACAAAGATGCACACACAAGAGCTTTAACATTTTTGAGCAGCAGCTCAGAGGAAAGGACCATGCCAGCCCCAGGAGAAAGGAGACTCCCCTCATCGGGGCACTGTCCTTGCATGACCCAGGACAAGTCACCTGGAGTCATGGCAGCCTGGTGGTGAGGGGACATGCCCTACCTGCAGGGCCTGGGACAGTCGTACAAAATCCCTCTGCACCTGTTCACTGGTCTCCAGTTCGGCCTGCAGCCGCAGCACCTTTGCCCTCTGTTCTGAGAGGAGGTCTGTGAGCTGAGCCTGTGGGGACAGGACGCGGGCTGGGGCCTTGGGCCAGATGGGATGGTGTATGGCCAACCGGAGGGAGAGCCCCTCTACTCGCCCCCAACTGACCCCTCCTGTAGGGCCTGAGCCACAAGGCTTCCTGCTGCCTAATCTGAGACATGGAGGGCAGGAGGGTGTGGTAGGGTCTTCTCCACTCTGCCACCGCCTCCCTGTCATCACGTCTGGCCTGACTTCTGCCTCACCTTGCTCTGTTCCTGATGGATCCGCTCCATCTCTGTCCTCAGGCTGCACAGGGAGGCTAGGAAGTCAGGCAGGGACCAGGTGTCAGGCCCACGCCCTCCCTCCTTCACCCACTCCAGCCCCACCAGCTCCGGCCCATACTTACCTTCTAACACCTCTGTGTGCAAAGGAAAGAAAGAGAGGTCAGGTTCACTCTTGCACTGTCTCCTCTGTCCCCTCCTGGCACCCAAGTGGTCCACTGTGGAGAGGTCACCCTCCCAGAAAGCCGGAGTGGGGAGTCCCATCACTTCTTCTCTCACCTGTCTCCTCCCGCTGCACCCTCAGCTGCCCCTCCAGGCTGGCCCTTGCCGCAGTCTCTTCCTCCAGCGCCTCCCGCAGCGTCACAATCTCAATCCGAAGGCGCTCGGCCTCATGTTCCCGGGCCTGCTGATGGGCCCTTGCCTCCTGCCCCATGCGGCATACCAGCTGCTGCAGCTCCTGGAAGGGATGCAGTCACCTGTTGGGTGTGGGGTAGGAGGTGCAAAGGCAGCAGGGGCCAGCAGCTACATGGGATTATGGAGAGGGGAAAGGAAGGGAGGAAGGAAACTGTGAAAAGGGGAGATAACCCAAACCCCCAGTATGGGGCATCCATCGTCCCTGATAAAGCAAGTGGACAAGTACATTGTTCGCCAGTGACTTCTGCAGCAAGCAGCCCTGCCCTCAGCGACAGACGCCGAGGAATGGTGCAGGAGGTCACCTAGAGCAAAGATCCTTTAATAGAGCTCAGAAACACTGAAGTTAGCACTCCACTGTTTAGGCAGGCACATATTTGTAATAAAAATGGTAGCAGAGAAGAGCAAGGGAATGGTTGAATTCAGGAAGGTAGAAACAGTCAAGTGGTACAGGTACACATAAGAAGATTTAAGTTGTATTTTCAGGGTGGGCAAGGCTTCCGGGCGACCTTCATATTTTTAATACATTAATTTAACAATGTCAACAAAGATGGCGCATAGATCAATGAGGACAGATTACTATGAACCATGATGAATTTGACCTTGTGGATCTCGTGTTGCTTAAACCAAATTACTGCTTTCAAATTAAGCATTCTGTTAAATTATTTTCTCCTCATGCCGAGGCTGGCAGGGGGGTTTGGTCCCATTTTCAGATAAGGAAACTGAGCCTTAGAAAAGTTAAGTGAGTTGGACAAGGTGATGCAGTTAAAACAGCAGCCTGGACCTGTCCCCAAGCCCCAGGGCCCCAGGCCAAAGCTTTTCTGTGTATGAAGAGGAGGTGCCAACAGGGCGAACCCCTGGCTGTCAGTGCCTGCACCGCCCTTACCGGGATAGAGCTGGGCAGCGCCTGGTCCTGGCCCTCATCCTGCTCCAGGACCCAGGGGGCTGCAGGTGGCGGCTGCTCAGCCCGGAGCCCTTGGTTTTCTTCTGTCAGCCGCTTTACCTCATGGCTCAGGCACTTGTGGGAGGTGGCCAGCTCTGCCTGGGTATGGAGTGTCAGTTCAGGGAAATGAGGGGGGAAGGGTGTCCCCGTGCCCCATGAGGCCAAACCCTGTACCCTCCTCCAGACGTGCTGACAGCCAGAAAGCCCCCACCCCCCCTCCTCTCCTGAGAAAGGAACGAACACCCTTTATTATGTGTCTTTGTCTCCCAAGTCCTTTATACACTCAGTGACATGGAGGTCACACCATGGCAGCCACAGGTCAGGTTGGGTATTTTATTTGGTCGATGTTTTTTTTCTTAACGTTAAATTAGTTTCTAACTTTAGAAATCTGGAGACTACACACCAATATTCAGATTTCTGGCTTCTCTTGGCAAATCAGTACACCTGGCAGCATCGAGCTCAAATTCCCACCTGGGGAAGTCGAGGAGCAGCTGCCCCAGGGACCGGCGCTGTTCGCCACGCCACTCCTTCCGGCCTCACACCCAGCCCGACACAATCATTTACAGCTCTGGTCTGGCCTTGGGAAGTTCCTGATTTTATAATCCTTGCCTTTAATTGTCATGACTCTCTAAACTAGGTCCCATTATCTCAATTTCAAGGCAGCAAGGCGAAGGCTCCCTGATTGTGGGATCAGCTCAGGATCATCGAGCAGGTGTATCATGGGCTCTATCTGAATGCACAGCCCCAGTTCTGGCCACAGTGCCAACCCCTTTACCCACCAGGCACCATCTCCAGGTACAGCCCACATAGGACGGGGGCCTCCACCTTCCATGTGCCCTTCTCAACCAATTCCCATCACTCTCCTCTCCCTCTTGCCCCAGCTCCAAAGCCCTCACCATCTGCAGCTGCACCCGCTCCTGAGCCTGGCTCACAGTCCCCTGCAGGGTCTGCAGCAGCTGCTCTGAGTTCTGGACCTGGGCCAGGAGCACCTGCATCTGTGGGTGGAAGGGGGGCAAAGGCGAGGTGAGGCCGGGGCCCAGGAGGAGGCATGCAGCCAGAGGTCTTGCTGGGGCTGGAGTAGGGGCTGGACCCACCTGCTTGGCACAGTCCTCATTGCTTCGTCTCAGGCCCTCTTGCAGCTCATCCCGCTCCCGGCTGACGCTCTCCAGGTCCTTTTGCAGCTGCCTCCCCTGCCAAGACCTTGGCCTCAGTCTCAGCTTCCAGGAGAGGCTTCCCTCCTCACCATGCCTCTTATGCCTTACCTTTTCTCTTTTTGCATCTCAGTGGATGGTACCATCATCCTCACAGTTGCTCAAGCCAAAAGCCCAGGAATCGATGCCCTTCCCTTTCCTCCACTCCCCCTGTCTAACCCACCAGCAGGTCCTGCCAGTCTGCCTACAAAGTAGATTCTAAAACCACTTCTCTTCATCTCTGCTGCCATCTCCTGGTCCCAGTCACAACCCTCTTCTAAACTAGGTCAAGTGTCTACCAGCTGGCCACCCCACTTCCCCTGTTGCCCTCTCCCCCCACTAGCGCCCATTCCTACAGCAAGGCCCAAGTGGTCTCTTAAAGCCTAAAGCACAGCAGGCCTCTCCCTGGTTTAAACCCCTCCGAGGCTTCCCACTGCTCCTTGTCTGAAACGTGAGCTCCATGGGCCTGAGGCTGGCCTCGGGGACCCCGCCTTCCTTCCTGATCTCATCTCTCTTTTCCCTCTTGCTTGCCTTCCTGTTCCTCAGACACACCACAGTCTGCCCATCCTCGGGCCTCTGAACTTGCAGTTCCTCTGCCCCCAATCTTCAAAGATTACCTCTTTTCTACTATCCAGGTTAGTTTCCAGCATTGCCATGACCCTATATGTTAGTTCTGGGCCTGTCACCCTGTGACACTGACTTCCTCATGTGCTCATGTGCACGTGTGGGTCTGTCTCCCTCACTAGGAGGAAGCGCCAAGAGTGAGTTTTCTCTTCACTGTGAAATCCCCGGCTCTAGCTCAGCCTGGGCATAGTAGGAGCTCAGTAAGTACCGGTGCAGGGACAGATGGATGCATGCATGCAGACAGGTACCCCATGCACGCCACTCACCTCCATTTGCAGCTGCTCCCACTGGGTGTCTGGGACAAGCTGGTAACCAGGAGGTGGCAAGTAGATGCCCTCAGGGACCAAGGTGCCCGTGGACACCAGGGAGGCTGTCTCTTCCTGCTCGGGGCTCAGGGCCTGGCGGCTACGGGGCAGTGAAGTGCTGCTGCCAGTCCCGCCGCCAAGGGAGAAGGAGGAGATGGAGGCGCTGTCGTCACAGTTGTGGGCGAAGGCCTCGGCTGCTGCACCCCCATCTCCGCTCAGCTCCTCGAGAGGCTCCAGTGGGGGAGACAGGTCTCGGGACAGAGGCAGCAACTCCGTGGAGCCGTGCAGGGAAGGGGAATGCCGGGGACGTCTCTAGGGAAGGGGGTCAGGAAAGACGCTGGGGGGCCAGGGTCCTGCAACGCCCCTTCTTCCCTCAGTGCCACCTGGCCTCCCCCTTACCTGGATCTCTTGAATCAGCTCCTCCGCCCTCAACAGTTTCGCCTTCAGCTCCTCTATCTCCTGCTCCATGGGCAGCACAATCTCTCGCAGCTTCTCCGAGTCCTCGTGGGCCTGAAGTGGGTATTGGGCAGCAACATTCCCTCTCCTGACTTCACGGCCCCTCATGTCTGTTCAGAGCTTTCTTTCCAAGCACTTGTAATCCTCCTAAGAAGGTTCTGTCCACCCCATTTTAGAGATAACAAAGGCTACGGGAGTTCCACGACCCACCCCAGATCACATGGCACATAAACAGGTCAGAGTCACAACCATCTTCCTGTGGCCCACGGCCTCACCATACTTTTCTTCCCCAATATTCACTTTTTTCCTTTATCAAAGAACTTAACATTTTTACTTGGACACACAAGCCTACATTTTAGAAAGTCATCTCCATTTCTTGGCCTCCCTGTAACTGGGCCTGGCCATGTGACTAAGTTCCAGCTAACAGATGGAGCAGGTGTGCCAGTGCAACTTCCAGGGCAGCTCCTTCAAGGGAGACGGTGTGCTTTTCTTTCTACCTCACTGGCTAGAACCTGGATGAGGCTGGCACTCAAGCAGTCAGCTTAGACCCCGAGGCAGCAAGCCCCACCTACAGCAAAATAGCAACACAGAAGGAGCCTGAGTCCCTAATGGCTTTTAAAAAAATTTGTAGAGCAGTTTGAGCCAAACTGAAGACATATGCTGGGGAGCAAGATCTCAAATGCTCTGGAGAACAGCAGTTTTGCAGCTTCCCTAATGACTTGATGAGCTGCTGTATCAGTCCTGAAAATGTCTACCTCTGGACTTGAAGAGAAATAAACATTTACCTTATTTAAACCACCACTGACTTGAGTTTTCAAAGCTCATCCTAACTGGTATGTCCCCCCGCACTCCCGATCACCACCATATTGCTATTTTTTGGTCCCTTTTCAAGTTCGGGATCCTGCTGAACATGCACAGCCAACAGCTGCTGGACAGCCCCACTTGGCTGGTGTACAGGCTCCTCCATCCCAGTGTAGCCAGGTCTGAACCGAGTCACGGTGCCATTTCTCCTCCCATGAGTGCTAAGGCAGCAAGAATGGCCCTGCCAGCCACCCAGATGTCCAAGGCAGAAACCCTCTTCCAACTCATGCTGCGTTTACTTCTTGAACCACTAACAACCTGTGTCAAACAAGTTCAGTCTAACCCTCCCATCTCTTCTGCGAACCACTGCAACAAGAGGGTACGCCTGTGTGGCCCAAATGAAACACTCCCCATCTGAAGCCCTGGAATCCATGCTCTGTAGACACCTAGGCCATGGACGGACAATGGCTGAAGGCAGGAGTTGGGCCAGGACTGGAACTGCCCAACCCCAGGCCTGTAGCCCCTCCTGCTGTCGCAGGTGGCTCTCCGTTAGCAGAGCCCTCCTTCACCGCCCTGGGCGGTGGCTCCTGGAGGAACCCTCTGAGTGCAAGCAGCAGCCTCTGCTGGGTGTGGGTCAGGCACCCTCCTTTCTTGGGCTCCTGTTTTGACCTTTGTCTTTCTAACCAGCCAATGGACTCCATCTCTCTGGGCATAAAATGAGCTAAGCACCTGCTTCACAGGGCTTCTGTGAAGATTAAGTGAGGTAACGATGTGGACTTGCTTTGAAAGATGAAGGGTTCAGTAATATGTGTGTCCTACTATTGTCAATAACAACAATAATAAAGGAGGTGATACACTATCTTCACAACGAACTTTACAACCAGATTGCTTAGATTTTTAAGCCCCAAATCTCCTTTCTATGTGCAAAACCTGGAGAGAATTACTGGAGAGAATGAGCCTCACCTTTCTCATCTGTTCCACGGATCTAAAGGGCCTTGTTTTGGGGAGAAAGGCTGGGCAGTCTGAATCTGACAGGCAGTTAGCAGAGTACCTAGTGCATGAGAGGCATCCTTGAGTGTTAGCTCCCTTTCTTCTACATGACTGTCCTTAATGTTGGAGGTAAATAGACCTAATGAAGCCACTAGTAAGTGGCAAGCCAGGACCTTGCTGAGTATAGAGCTAGCGTGCGCTATGCCTAGAAGGATGACTTGGTACCCTGCTCCTAATGATCTGGGAGTGGCACGCCAACAATCCCTCTGCCCCACCGTCACCTGTGGCTGCCTCAACATCTTTCTAATCTCGGGGGGTTGTAGGAAGGCTACCCGAACCCCAACCTTTTCCATCTGCTTCTCCAAGGAGTCCAGGGGGTGAGCCCGGGACAACAGCTGCTTCAGGCGGCCCAGCTCCCGCTCCTTCTCCTCATAATCCTGCTGCTGCTGCTGCCGCTCCTGCTTCAGGGAAGTGATCTGGGCTTCGTAGCTGCTGATAGAGTCTGGCAGGGCAGGAGGGCAGAGGAGGAGGGTCAGTGCGCTGGCCCTACCTGTGGGTGAGTATGGGCTCTCCAACACTGATGCACTCTGTGAGGCGATTTACCACAGAGGACCACAGGGGCTTTGTGGAGAGATGGCCCTGGCCACACAGCCAGCCTCTCTCCATCACTGTCTTCAGCTGCAAAACGGGCACAGTATGACAGCCTCACTGGGTTGTTACAGGATCAAAGGAAATGACATCTGGAAGGTGTTCAGCCCTCTTCCTGAAGATATATGGTCTCTATTCCATATATATATATATACCAATAACAATATATACATATATATCAATTGATATATGTCAATATATATCTGTATACACCAATGCCAATCAATAATAATAGTAATAAACTTTTTATGTGCATGGTTATTTTAACAGGTACTATTAGAAGTAAAGGTTCTGCTATATCAGAACTGTTCAACCCCTGGCTGGTGTAGCTCAGTGGATTGAGCATGGGCCTGCGAACCAGACAATTGCGGTTCGATTCCCAGTCAGGGCACATGCCTTGGTTGCAGACCAGTTCCCTGCAGGCCAGTTCCCAGCAGGGGACACACGAAAGGCAACCATACATTGATGTTTCTCTCCCTCTCTTCTTCCCTCCCCCTCTAAAGATAAATAAAAGATTTAAAAAAAAAAAAAGAACTGTTCAGCCAACAGCCAGGTAGCAAAACTTTATCAGGAAAACAAACAAGAATATGAGAAGAGTTTCAGCCATTGCGGAACAAAGCCGAGTGACACATAATAGACCCTTGGTGTGCTTTCTTCTTCATCATTGTTGTGTGTAATCTACCCCTCAGGAGAAAGGCTAATACATTTCAAGTGCCACAGGTGTTAAGGATTCTGCAGGAAAAAAAGAATGTTTAGAATCTACAAAAGCTTGCGTTTCTAGATTAATGTACTTTTTATTGCATGATGTGAACTAAGTTATTGCCTCCCTAAGTTTATAATATATCCTGTTTAAAAAAAAAAAAAAAAAAGGGTTCTGCTGCCAGACTGCCTGGATTCAAATCTGCTGCTTTCTAGCTACACAACCCTGAGCAAGTTACCTAATGTGCCCAGGCTGCGGGGCTTCCTCTGTAAAATGGAGCTAGATAATAGCTCCTACCTCATTGGGGTTGTTATGAATACTCATAAAGCATTTAGCTCAGTGCCTGGCATACGGTATATGTTAGCCATTATTATTATCACTGTCGTGATAATGATTTGGGACAATTTCTCTTATAAGGACAGGAAATTTCCTTTAAAATAACTGTAAGTATTTAAAAAGTGGCCCTACTTAAAGAACAAATATTAAGTAGATAACAGGGTAAATCATAGGAGGAGACAACCGTGTCAGGTCGTATGTGGAAGGGAGGCATCATGTTGGTGGAAAGGGTACTGAGTGAAATACAGCCCCAGGAGTCTGGAGGCAGGAGCAGGTGTCTGAACGGAAAATGATGTGGTGGGATGGGAATTTGAGAAAGTTTATTCTGGAAGCCAATGTCAAGGCCCAATTACAAAAGGAGACCTGTGAGAAGTCCAGGGGAGTTGTCCGGAGCTTCACTATAGCAGTGGCAGTGGAACCAGAGGTGGGACAGGACTGGAAGCTATTTTAGAGACTTTGGCTTCCCACTAAAGGAGAAGGGGAAAATGAGGAAAGAAGCAAGGAGATCTGGAGAAAGCGATGGTGTTGCATCTCAAGTACATACAGAGGATACAAGGGAGGGAAGGAAGTCAGTACATGTGTGTGTGATGGGGTGGGATGTGGGGGGGCAGGTGCAGGGATGCTTGGGAAAGGAAGGAAACCAGAGGATAAGACTCACAGAGACCAAGCCCAGGGCTGAGTCTGAAGCCCAGAGGATCAAGTGAAGGTGCTTCAGGGAACCGAGAAGTGGCTCATCCTCAGGGTTGATCAATCATCAGGAAGGAACAAGAAATGACAGGGGGCAAGGGAACAGGTAAAAGCTCAGAACTAAACTTAGTTAGAACTGACACAGCTGCTGCGAGCACAGGCAGCATCCCTGTGCAAATTAGAAAAAGGCGTCCCCCCACTAAAATGAAAAAAAAAATCTCTGTCCTTTGGGTCCATAGGCCTGCCCTGCTAACTTACCCAGTAGCTTATGTGTCCCCTTGACCCTTTTCTGGTCATGCACTCCCCTCTATGGGGCTGACGGGGAGTCTGGGAAGAGACCCTGCCTCACCTTTCAGGATGGCCTGCAGGGAGGCCACCTCCTCTTGGCATTGCCGCTGCACCGCAGCCACAGCCTCGGCCTTCGTGCTCTCGCTCACCTCGGCCACAGCCTTCATGGTCTCCATTTCTGCCAAGGCGCCTGCCAGCTCAACCCGAAGTCGGCCGAGCTCCGCTGATTCGGCCTCAGCCTTTGCCCCCTCCTGGGGCTGGGGATCAAGGGCTGTGGGGGACAAGGATCAGCCTCACTTCCCATCACTCCAACATCCTCAGTAACCCAAGTTTCAAAATCCGAAAGTCCTGCAACCTAGTTGTAAAGCAGCCGCGGTCCTCGCCTCTTTCCCGAGACCAGACCCGCTCACCTGGCCACGCCTCCTTCTCACCTAGCTCTGGCACGCGTTGCTATAGCCCCGCCTTCCCCCCCACACACACACGGTTCACCCAATCTCCTTTCCTCTGACACGACCCCTCCCTTCCAAAGGTCCCGCCCCTTCACTCGCTAGGTTCCACCGCTCGCTCACCTGGCCCTACCCCTTGAATCGCCAGGCCACGCCCCCTACTGGTGGCTCCAGACCCCGCCCCTACCTCCAGTATCCCCCTCACCACCACCCCCAATTTCCCGGCTGCTGAGCTCGGCCCCGCCTCTGCCTTTGCCGCTCCTCTAGTGCACGGACGCGCCCTTACTTACCAGTCCCCGGCTGCCGTCGCAGGCCATCCTCGCCCGCGGCCGCCGGCGCAGCTGCCGCCATAGCCTCCGCGCAAACGGCGGGGTCCCGCACTCCCCGGTGACCGCGCTCACCGCTTCCGGGTCCGCTCGGCTGTTTCCGGATCCGCTCGGCTGTTTCCGGATCAGCGGGGCTTGAAGCTGAGGACGAAGTTCGCTGAGGGATTGCCGAGTTCCGCCGAAGATATCTGAGGCTACGCCGGGCCCGACGCCGGGCCCGGCCCCGCCCCACCCGTTTACGTCTTCCTTCCTGAATAGCGCTGTTCAAGGACAATACTAGTCCTTCAAACCCCTAAGAAGTTCTCTTCATCAGAGGCTTCCTAGTGTCTCCGTGTGACTTTAGAAGCTCTGCTCAAATTATACTTTCTTCGGGACCCCCGCCGCGCAGAGGACAAAGCTCTCGCGGTCTTTCCCGAGCCGCGGAGCTGAACCCTTGCGCAGCCCCTGGTCGTCGTTTCGCTGGAGCATGGTTCACTTTACAGAGAATTGTGGCCAGGCTTCTGTGCACCTCTGCCCTCGTGGAGCGTCCCTCAGCGCAGGGCTGGGTTGGCTCCACTTTGGGGGTCTGTGTCCCAGCGCAGTCGGTCGTAGACGTCAGAAATTTACACGTCCCCCCACTTGGATATTCAACCATTCACCGCTTCCTGCTAATCCCCACCGCGCCTGTCCAGTGCCTCTCAAATCCCTCCTCTCCTTCCGTGGCCACTGCCCTAGATTAAGCTTTTATCTGTGACCTCTCCCTCGAGCAGCGGACCAGATATCTCAGTTTGGACGGGAATAGGCAACTCAAACTTAGGTCCAGAGCCTTGATTTCCCTTCTCTCAAGCCCGTTTCTTTCTCTGTAAGGTACACTCCAGGAGCCTGGAAGTTCCGTAAACTCTACCTCCGAAGGACTGAGTATTCCAGAATCTGCCCTCTTTTCTTCAACTCCGGTGCTAAAAACCCAGTCCGTCCCACTTTTCTCGCTCCTGAACTTTCAAAACGTCTCCTAGCTCTTCCCTCGTATGGCCTTTGGTTCCCTGAGTTATTTTCAAAACAACCAGAATCATTTCTGTAAAACATCGTGTCCCGTCCCTGGGATGGGATTAAAATCCAGTTCAGTCAAATTTGGAAATGGGCACAGGACAGGAATAGACATTTCACTGATGTCACAGATAGCAAATATTCGCATGAAAAGATGTTCAACATCATTAGCCGTCAGGGAAATGCAAAGTAAAACCACAAGGAGATACCACTTCACACCTACCAAGATGGGTAAGAGACTGATAGTACCAAGGGCTAGTAAGTGTAGAGAGAAACTGGGTTTCTCATATATTCCTGATGGGAATATAAAATGGTATAGCGTGTCTGGGAAAGAGTATGACAGTTTCTAAGAAAACTAAACGTGACCTTACTTGAACACGCCAAGCTTTAAGACCCCTCAGGTCTTAGCTCAGAAGTCTCCTCCTCAGTGGGGCCTTCCCTAACCACCCTATCCAAAGGAGCCTTCCCCAATCATCTGTCCACCATTAGATTACATCAGAGACTTTTCACCATCTGAAATTGGTTATTGGTTAGCTTATTTATTATCTGTCTCTCTTTACCTTTCTGTGGCCCCCAAACTTGAATCAAAGCTCCATGAGATCAAGAACCTTGTCCTTCTTGTCCCCTGCTGTTTCCCCAGCACCTAGCAGAGTGCCTGAGCATGAATGAATCTGGTGAGTGAATGAACACTTTCCTTACTGCTTTCTCTGGCCTCCCTCCAATTCCCTACCACACTGCAACCAGGGGGAGTTTTTAGAAAGTGCAAACCTGGCCAGGTCAATGCCTGGCTTATAAATCCCCAATAGTTTACTGCCTTCGGTAGCTTCCTGTCCTCAGGACTCCCTGTGTATGCGGCAGGGTTTCTTGGGAAGGGGGTGAAATGATGACTAGAAATAAAGCTCCAGTCAACTATCAGACTTGGGTTTTATCCTGAGGTCTGTGAGGCCACTGAAGTCTGTTGGGCAGGGGAAGCATATGACTAATCCCCAGGAAGCTCTCTCTCTCTCTCTCTCTCTGTGGAATGTAGATGGGAAGCAAAAGAGGTAGAAGACAGAGCCCACAGAAGAGGCTGTTGAAATGGTTCTGGTTGGAAAGGGTATTGTCCAAAAAGAGGAGAAAGTTGATTCTAGAAATAGACTAGAAAATGGACTAACCTTGGTAAACAGTACATGGGGGGAAGATAAAAGAGAGCTTTCTTTCGCTCTTCTTAACTTCCTTCCTTTATGCAAAGAAACTGAGCAAGCAACTTCTAGATGTCAGTGAACAAGACAGTCAGGATCCCCATCGCTGAAGAGGGGCCATTTAGGGGCAGGAAGCACATGAGAAGACTAACAAACAAACACACTTTGGGATTCGGGAAAATGCCAGGAAGGAGGTGAACAGGGTCAGAGAAAGCCTGTAAGAGCAAGCAACACGAACTGACGACATTCGAGGGATGAAAAGGAGCTGTTCAAAGGTGCAGAGTGAGGGGCAGAGTGGTAGAGGGTTGAGGTGGGAAGTATTGGTGTGGAAGCATCACTCGGCCCTTTGGGGGCCATGGTTTGGAATGTTTCTTTTAGGTAGATGAAAAGCCACTGAACTGTTTTAAGCAGGAGGCTGATGTGCTCTAGCAAAGAAGACTGCCTGTGAGGTGGCTGGGAAGCTAGTGACGGGGTTGGGAAGATGCTGTTGAACAGAAAGCAAAAAAAAAAAAAGAGTCCCGTTTCGCCCCATTCTTCCCCTGCCAGCCACCCCAGCCTGACCAAAGGGAAGTGGAGGCCCTACCAGATGGAGGGTCCCCTGGGGTTTGCCTGAGGCAAACAGGAAGCTGCAGCCCAGTGAGCCGACCCTGGGAACAGGCAACTGAGAAAGCAGGTCTCCTGGGTCCCTGGCCCCTTTCCCTGAGTGACTGCAGCAATGAAGGGCACACATACGCATATACATACGAAGAGAGACAGACAGACAGAGAGAGAAGCACAGAAGAAGGAAAAAAAGAGGAGCAGGAGGAGGAGGGGGAGAGATGGGGGTGCAGAACAGATTTAAGGGTCAGGACTCCTGGGTTCTAGTGCTCATTTCACCACCTGTTTAATGTATGATCTCAGGCAACACCTGGGGCCTCAATTTCTTCATTCCCAAATGGGTTCCTTCCGTAAGTGAAGAAGGGGCTTTCTGGGGGAAGAACTGGGAGAGAAAGAGGGATTAATCAGTCATTGCTCAGGACTGCTGCGAAGGAGCTACAGTGGCACTCTGGCCTGAGCTCTTAGCTTTTAATTGATACTGTCTCTCACTAACTGAGGGCCTACTCTGTGCGGGAGCTGGGCTAGTATGTTATACATCTATTGTCCTGTTTAATCTTCACAAAAATATTTTAATAGTACTATTATTATCCCCAGTTTACAGAGAAAGAAACTAAGGCCGAGTAGTAGAGGTGGAGGATTCAAACTCACGTCTGTCTCTGTGGTGGGCTGGTTGTATAGAAGTGGACAGTGGCCTGAGAAGTGTTGGTGGTGTGAATAAATTAGGTGAGTGTGTGTACGTGCGTGCGTGCGTGCGTGTGTGTGTGTGTGTGTGTGAGAAGAGGGACGGATTTAGAGCCGGAGGTTGCAGAAGGGAGCCTGAGGTCAAAGGAGGGATGAGTGACTGGATTCACTCATCCAATAAATATTTGGGGGGCATCTGAAGTGTGCCAAGTACTGTTCCAGGGCCCCATGCACACAGTGGTGAACAAGATGGTCTGTGCTGCAAGGGGCTTACTCTGGTGGGGAAATGGAAAGTAAGCACTAGACTCAAATAAGATAATTTCACTGGTGGTAAGTGTTGGGATGAAAATAAGAGTGTAGCAGGCAGGAGGGGAGTTTTGTGGGTCTGGAGAGGTGCATGGAGAAGGGGGCCTGAGGCGTGACCACCCCTTCCTCCCCTGGGGGACTGCCCACCCGCCCTCGCAAACACCCACGGTTCAGTGCCCACCAGGCCCCCACCTGCCCCAGCATCCCCTGCGCAGGGAAGCTGGGTGCCTCAGGGAGTCTGGCCACCATGACACCTCCTCTTCTCTTCTTCCTCCTCTTCCTTATCCCCGTGAGAGTCAGGTCCCAGAAATCACAGCTGGTTCATGCTACAGGTATGTCTGAAGGGCACAGACACAAGGAGTTGGGGTTGGAAACCTGGGTTCTGGCTGGATGCCCTCGCCCAAGGAAGTTACCTTCTCTGAACCTCCATTTTTGTCATTGTCGAATTCAGGCCAGGGCTGAGAGGCTTCTGAGGGCTCATCCGCTCCCAGTTGGTGTCCCAGTTGGTGGGGTCTGGGGTCACTGGGTTCATAGACTCCTCAGTGTGAGCGGTGAAGGGGCTAGGGGCTCCTCTCTCCCCACCTCGTCTCTTTCCACAGAGGGAAGGAGTGCTGTGCTGCCGTGCCTCGCGGTGTCCTCAGCCGGCCCTCCCGACGGGCTGTCCTGGTACCCGGAGTGCCAGTCCGCGTTTTTGCGGCTGAGGGGAGGGCTGCCAGGCCTGGGCGTCCTGCTGCTCATCTTCAACATCTCTGACCAGATGGGGGGCTTCTACCTGTGCCAACAGGGGCCACCTTCCAAGCAGGACTGGCAGCCTGGCTGGACAGTCAGCGTGAAAGGCAGCGGTGAGGTCTAGGGTGGAGTCCGGGGGTGGGGGGTGGGGGGCGGAGGGTCTGAAGATCAAACCGGAAGCCAGCTGTAGGCAGCTCCTAAAAATTCCTGTGGCTCTGTGACTTCAACACTGAACTCCTTGCTACCTCTCAGTCTCACCTCCCTCCGAGACCCTGTTTCTCTGTCTCTCTCTGGGTCTTTCTTTCTTTCTTTTTTTAAAGATTTTATTTCCTTTTATTTTTTAAGAGACTTTATTTATTTATTTTTAGAGAGAGGGCAGGGGCAGGGAACTAGAAGGGGGGAAACATCCTTCAGCCTCCTCTTCCACGCCCCGCAGCCCAGGCATGTGCCCTGACCGGGACTCAGACCCGCAGTCGTGCCCTCTGCAGGGCCACGCCCAGCTCACTGAGCCACACCAGCCAGGGCTCTGGGTCTTTGTTGTTATTGATCTCCATCTTGCTGGGCCTCTGTATGTCTCTGACTCTCCTGGATGTCTCTGTATCTGGTTCCGGGTTTCTTCCCAGAGGAGCTGTTCTGGTGGAATGCCTCAAACATAGATGCCCCACACTGTGACCTGAGGAACAGGTCCTCAGGGGCCCGCAGGCCCTCTTCTGATCACCTCACAAGTTCCCAGCTATATGTGTGGACCGAAGACCACCCTGAGATTTGGGAGACAGGCCCCGAATGTGCAGCACACATAAAGGGCAGCCAAAACCGGAGCCTAGACCAAAGTAAGGAGCTAGGAGAATATCGGGAAGTGTGGGAGGGGGGTGTCCAGGGATGGGCGGTGGTGGTTGGATTTGTGGCGGAGGAGACTACAAGGCCTGTACCTTCTCGGTTCTTCTTGCTCCAGACCTCATGGTGGACCCTGGTTCCACTCTCTGTCTGCCCTGTGAGGTGCCTTCTGCCTCCGTGGCCAGAGGGCCCATCTCCTGGATCTACATGCACCCCAAGAAGCCTAACATCTCATTACTGACTGTAAACCTGAGTGAGGATGCTTCAGTCAGAGAGACGAGGGTCTTAAACACTCTCAGGGGAGGGGCTGTTCTGTGGCTGCCCCGGACCACAGCTAGAGATGCTGGCAAATATTACTGTAACCATGGCAACACTACCACTGAGGTGCAGCTGAATGTCACTGCCCAGTCAGGTAGGGTTTCTCTCGATTGTGGGGCCTGTGCGTAGAGCTGTTGGGGAGAACTGGAAGCCGGCCAAGCTCGGCTCCCCTTGGCTAGTACCAGCTTTAGCCTGAACCCCAACCACCACCTCTTTCCCTGTCCTTCCAAGATACTACTTTTCTGGGTCTTCTCCTACCACCGATTGCACCTTCCCAGCAGCTTTGGTAGAGTCCTCCTTCCTCCCCACACCTCACCACTGGCATCCTGAGCCCTCTTCTTATCCCGTCTACACTCTCTCATTCTTGTCTACACACCCTTTCTATTTGACCTCCTTCACTCTTTTGGCTCCTTGGGCCACCTTGCCTTGGTGCCTGGATTCTAGGCTCCAAACCCCCACACCCGCCCATCTCTTGGAATTGCCATTTGATGTCCCATGGACACAGCAGGCTCAGCATATACCAAAAAAAAAGAAAAGAAAAGAAAAGAAAGAAACTCGACATTTTCCTAAGCCTAGTCTTCTGGGTAACCCCGCATAACTGAACGACACTCCCACCTGACCATGTGCCAAAGCCAGGAATTTGGGCGTTCTTCCTTTGCCTTCACTTATCCATCAAATTTGTCAAGATGATCTGGCCCATTGTCTCCCCTACTATGACCCTACCATGCTACCCTAAACACAGTTCTCAAACTTAACCTCAACTTTCACTCCAAACTTACCTCAGCACCTTGCTGCATCCCACCTTCAACATTGTGAACTCGCCGCGCCCTTCATTTTGACCATGCCTGTTCTTCACCACAGCAGGAAGCTCATAATCAGGCTCACCTTAATCCCAACATTGCCTCAGACTATAGTCATGGGTTTTCATGGTTTGCGTAACAGACACCGCTCCAGGCCCCGTGCCAGGCTCTGAGGCCCCGTCCCTGACCTCAGAGGGGAGGAGTAGAGAGCCCTTCTTACAGCTTGGGACTTCGAGGATCTATGTCTCGCCCCCGTCCCCCAGATTTATGGCCCTCTGAGGTCTTGAGGCTGGTAAGATGCCAGCCCTGGTCCTTGTCTCATAGCTCCTTCCCCCTAGCAATACGACACTGGCTGCTGGAGGCTGGCGGCTGGAGAGTCCTGGCTACAACTTTACTTTATCTGATATTCTGCCTGGGTTCCCTTGCGGCCTTTCTTTATCTTCGAAGAGGTGAGTTATGTCCTCCAAAGGATCTGCCAAACCTTGACATTATCTCCCTCAGGAGAGTCCACACTGGCCAGTCAGACAACTGTCTCTCTCCTCCCATACCTTCCCCACAGACTTCAGAATCTTGCCCCCCTTCTCTAAACTCCCTCCGAACTTCCCTAGCCCCTTGGAACTTAAACTCCCATCTTTTCCACTGACCCAAGTGACCTCCCAGCCGCTCCCCCCCCCACAAAAAAAAATCTTCACCTGGCCAAGGAGCCCCTCCTCTGATCACTCCCATTAACTCCTGCCAGCCCTGGTCCTGAGGAGGAAAAGAAAGCGAATGACGGATCCCACCAAAAGGTAATGATGCAGTGCCCTCAGTGTCCAGCTCCTGCACTGTCAGCTGACGCTCTGCACCTACTGTGTCCTCTGCTGAGGGTGTCTCTTCTCCCTCTGCCGTTGAAATACCTCCTAGCCTTCAAAGCCCAGCTCCAAAGCTACCTCTTCTGGGAAGACCTCCTGGGAGTGATCCCAGAGCCCTCTGTCGGCTCTCCCAGAACAAAGGAGCTAATTACAAGTGACCACATTTTAATCTCTGAGGGCATGGCCTGAGTGTCTCCCAGGACCCTCCAGGCCTGGCCTCACATTGCATCTTCCCTCCCTCCTCCAGGTTCTTCAGAGTGACACCTCCCCCGGGAAGCGAGGCCCACAACCAATACGGGAATGTGCTCTCCCTTTCCACACCCACCACTGGCACAGGTAGGAGGCCCGGCCAGGTCTCTGACTCAAAGCTAGGGCCCCATCCATTTGACCCATCCCTGAGATCTCCGGAGTTCCAGGCCTTCCCGAACTCCGAGGCCCCCCTTCAGAAAAGAGGCTGCCAGGGGCCCGCAGAGTCCCGCCCAGATTTGAGCCCCACCCCTAGGGCCATAGCCTGCCTCAGGACCCCAGACCGAAGTCTTGTTACAAGAGCTAGACTTTGCCCCTAGATTTGAGGCCACGTCCCTAGATTTAGACCCCGGGTGCCTAGAGTCGGAGTTCTCTGGCTGATCCCGAAGCATCCTCTCCCGTCATCCAGCTGCACCAGAGACCCTCAGCTCTGACTGCCCCATCTCTTCTCACCAGCGCCCCCAACAATGCTCCTCTCTCCAGGACGCTCCCTGCAATGGGCCGCAGGCCTGGGGACCGCAGCCCAGTCCTACAGAAACCCGTGCAGCGATGTCCAGGAGGCTGGTGCAGTGAGGTCCCGGAGGCAGACAGAAGCTGGTGATGGCGGATGGGTCTTTACTCACATGGGGGTGTTGGAGCAGGCTGTGTGTGACAGGAGTAGTTGGCCGGGGCCTGGAGGAAGGGGGCCCTGACTCAGGTCCCACCCCTGTCCCCCAACCCCAGGCCCAGAAGAAGAAGGGGAGGCCTATGAGGAGCCAGACAGTGAGGAGGGCTCAGAGTTCTATGAGAATGACTCCAACCTTGGGCAGGATCAGCTCTCCCAGGGTAAGACTGCCCTCCCTTGTCTACCCCACCTTCTCAGCAGGCGGTGGGGGTGCTGGGGACACTCCCTCGACCCCACTCCTTCTCCACCAGATGGCAGTGGCTATGAGAACCCTGACGAAGACAAGGCCTTGGGTGCTGAGGATGAAGACTCCTTCTCCAACGGTAATTTGGGTCCTGGTGGAACCTCAGAGACTCGGGAGGACCCACAGGGCAGGAGTGGTCCCTGGAGTTCTCTCTCTTTTTTTTTTCCCCTGCAGCATCTGAGTCATATGAGAACGAGGATGAGGAGCTGGCCCAGCCAGTCGCCAAGACAAAAGGTGTGTGTGTGAGGATGGTCACATTCCAGAGGAGTGTGGGTGGTGGTGGTAGGGTTGGTGCGTGTGAGCTGGGGGCCGGGAGGAACAGTGACTCCCCTCTTTCTTCTCCAGACTTTCTGAGCCCCCATGGGACTGCTTGGGACCCCAGCCGGGAAGCAACATCCCTTGGTGAGAAATGCTTGGGACCTGCCCAACTTTCCTGGACTGGGTTGACCTGGCCTTAGCAGTAACTCCAGGCAGAACCTTGACCTTGACCTTGACCTTGACTTTGACCCCGAACCCAAGCCCAATCCTGACCTTAGACTTAACTCTTACCTCTAATATCAACACTTAGACGCACCGTAATCCCCTGATTCCAGTATTTACCCCATCCCTGCCCCAAATCTGACTCGGGCCTGGACTTTGACCCCCACCTCACCCCAGCCCAGCGCAGACTTCAGCTTTGAACCCAGCTCTCTCTGCAGCCAACCGCTTCATGACTCTTGGACTCCTTCCAATTCTGTTCTTGACTATTTCTCTGACCATGACCATAATCTAACCATACCTGACTGACACTACAATTAACAAGGGCCCGAACCTTATGCTGACCCTCGTACAACACGGGTCAGTCCTTCCACCTCTCCCCTCCCCTCCCACCCCTTCCATATCTTAGGCTGCACTCCCCTTCCCCAGACCCCCAGCATGGCTCCCAAGCCTCCAGCTCTCCATCACCTGCCCACACAGGGTCCCAGTCCTATGAGGATATGAGAGGAATCCTGTATGCAGCCCCCCAGCTCCGCTCCCTTCGGGCCCAGCCCAGTCCCAGTCATGAGGACGGTGGGTACTTCTGCTATTCCCTGTTGTCCTCTGAGGCTGACCCTGTCCTCGGGCTACTTTCAGCTCTACCTGTGTTTCACTCCTCCCTGGTCCTAACCAGACGCAGACTCTTATGAGAACATGGATAATCCCGATGGGCCAGAACCAGCATGGGGAGGAGGGGGCCACATAGGGACCTGGAGCACCCCGTGATTCCCTTCAGGTGAGCTGGGGACTGCTCTCTGCGGAAAGGGGAGAAGGAGGGAGACGATAAGCAGGGATGGAAGTGGGGTTCTGACCCTCAGGGTGGGAGAGGAGAAAGGGTTCCCAAGGCCCGGTGGGCAGGGGGAGGGCTCCTAGACCCCTCCCCAGTACGGTTTCTTCTACATAGCCTGGCCCTCCTCAGGCTCCTGAGATCCACACCGGACTCTGACATCTGGTGACCCAGAGCAGGTGATGCCAGCCTCGAGTGATGTTGCCCAGGACGTGAGAATCTGTGTGCGTTCATGCACACAAGTGAGACTTCCAGTTCCCTTTGCACTGCCCAAATAAACTCTACGAGTTCTTGCAGTCCTGTGATGTGGCACCCTTGCATGGGAGGGAAAGGGAAGGTGAGAGAGGCTGTACTCCCATCCTCTCTTGAATCTGGTAGGGGAGGGAGGGCTGCATTCTGGGTACTACAGGACCTTTTCCTTCCTGTTGCTTGGCCTGAACCCATGTCCACTACTCTCCTGCCATTGCCACCATCCAGTTATTCAACCCTTGTCCGTTCAGCAGTTGTGTTGTGGGTATGCAGTGTAAAGGAAGCAATCCAGGAATCGGCAGGCATCACTGACATTTTTGAACACCTACTATGTTCTAACATCAACTAGCTTGTTTAATAATCTTTATAATAACCTCACGAGGTTATTATGCACTAATGTGCCAGGACTGTGTCAGAGTATTTTATGTGCTTTACATATATATTATGTATGTGCGTGTTTATGTATATTAGCTAATTATATCTTCACAGACATCCCTATTACACAGATGAGGAGACTGAGGCAGAGAAGCTAAATAACAAGCCCAAGGCTTGCCTACTAAGTAAGTGCTGGGGTCTGGTCTTGAACTCTGGCAGTCTAATTCTGAAGCCTGTACGCAATCTTGACACTCTCCCTTCCTAGGTGCAATTCTGCAGATGGGAAACCAGGTGTCAAAGGGCCAACTAACATGTCTAAGATCACACAACTAGCACCTCACAGAGCTGGATCTGAATCCAGAAATCTGGCTGCAGTGCTGGCCGCTGTGCCTCCCTCCTGATCCACTGCCTGCTTCTGCTATAGACCATGAACACAGGGACTATCAGAACTGAAAGTCTCCAGGCCCTGAAACCATTATGCAGCAAGATTCACCACACCCAAATTCTTGTCTCAGGCAGAGGCAGAATCAGTCAGTGATATTCCTGTTGTCGCCTGCCTGGTCTTCCCAGCTCCAGTGCCCTTCTGAGGCCCAGGACTGGCCTCTGATACCCAGAGCAGAGGTCTATACTCTGAGCAGACAGATAGTCCCTCTCTGCTCAGGCAGTGTCCGTGTTGTCTATGGCCACACCACCCTGAATGCACCGATCTCATCTGATCTCAGAAGCTAAGCAGGGTTGGGCCTGGTTAGTACTTGGATGGGAGGAAGTGTCAGTGTCTTTGCAAGGCTCTAGACTTTTTCAATGTCTACGTTTTTATTTCCAGAATCTCTTTTCCTAATGCACCAGCTCTTTCTTCCTAATATCCTATTTTTTGTTTTAGAGATGCTACTCCTTCTTTATCTGTAACCCTTTAAGACTTACTTCATCTCTGACCCTTTAAAACTTACTTTAACACTATTATTACGTGCCAGGCATTGTTCTATGAAATGCTTTACAGCTAGCATCTCATTGTATCTTTATAACCGCCTATGAAGGAGGTACTCAAACTCTTGTCAATTTACACCCAAGAAGACTGAGGCCTGGAGAAATTAACTGCTTGCTGACCTTAGGCTACATACCTAAACTCAATGACTCTCAGCTTTCCCAGTTATAAAATAGCAGTAGGGAAGAGGCGCAATGTCGGTTACTACTATGTGTACAGTGGCATGAACTCTCCTGTGGCAGTGTCACCATGGAAGGTTTCTTTAACTTCTTTGTGCTTCTCCAACCTGCAGGAATCCCATGAGTTACCCAGGCCCCACTGCCACTCCCTGGGGCCACCTTGCTTTGGCTCATGCCACAGTCTTACAGGCTACACAGGTTTCTGACTATTATATTCATGAGCTTCTCAGCAGGTTTTTGCACCTGAGGCTTGGTCTGAGTCCAAGTTCATACTTTGGTGGTCCTTGGAATTCTGATTTTCCACCATGACTTTTTCCATCCACTGCCTATTGGGTGTTTTACTTCCATGTTGCACCTCAAAGCATATAGATGGATTCTTTCCTCTGCATTCTCTGCCTAGAAGAGCTAGCCCTGTCTCAGCTCCCAGCCTTGTGCAGTGCACTCAGTTTCAGCCTCCACCTTGACCTCTGGCACCGTGTGGGGGTTAAAACTCCAGTCCTAGGCATCCCGGCTTCCCTGTGGGTTGCTTGACTTGAGCCCACTCTCACTGTTGCGACGTTGCTTTCCTTCTTTATTTTTAGCATCAGGAAGATTCTTTCTCGCTTTTGAGCTCAGAGGTATCTTTAAAAAGAAAGCAAGAAAACAATACTCCATGTTATATTTTGTGTAGTGTATGTTTGGAGTGTGAGTGGTGGCATACGAACCTCCAGCATTTCCTTGGGTTTTTGTCTTGAACACTCTCCCCATGGCAAGAAGTAAAAAATAAAAATGAAAATATCCAGTTCAAGGACTTCCAGCCAAGATAGAGGTGTAGGTGGAAACACTGTGCCTCTTCGCATAACCAAAATTAAGGACAACAACGATTTAGAAACAAAAACACAACCAGAAGAGACAGAAAATTGAACTGTCCGGAAGTCTGACAGCCATTTAACCAGACTGGTAAGAGGGGTGGAGTCTTGGCCAGTGGAGAGGGGAGAAGGAGGGAGATGGGTCAGGGCAGGAAAAGTCAGTGGCAGCCAGACCCAGGAGCGCAGGCTTACAGGGCCGACTGTGGTCGCACATTCGCGTGCAGATAAACTAGGTAAAAACGGGCAGCGAGACAGACCGCGCAACACAGGGTCTCAGTGCCAGGAAATAAAGTCTAAAAGCACCAATTGAAAAGGTGCCGGCTTGTGGGAAGCAGCAGAGGGGGCTGAAATTTGAGAGAATGTGGAACAAGCACCATTGCTCCCTCTCTGACCCCGCCCTCACATAGAGCATCACAACCCAGCAACTAGGTTTCCCCGCCCTGGTGAACACCTAAGGCTCCACCCCTCATATGTAACAGGTGTGACCTGACCAAAAATGGCTCAAACAGAAGAACAAATCAAAGCCCCAGAGTCAATACTTTTAAGTGACCAAGAGACAGCCAACTTATCAGATGCACGGTTCAAAGCACTGGTGATCAGGATGCTCACAGGACTGGTTGATTTTGGTTGCAGATTAGATGAAAAAGTGAAGGCTATGTTAAGTGAAATGAAGGAAAATGCACAGGGAACCAATAGTGATGGAAAGGGAACTGGGACTCAAATCAATGGAGTGGGCCAGAAGGAAGAAAGAAACAACCAAACAGAAAAGAATGAAGAAACAAGAATTCAAAAAAATGAGGAGAGGCTTAGGAACCTCTAAGACATTGTTAAATGTTCCAATATCCAAATCATAGGGTACCAGAAGGGGAAGAGCAAGAGCAACAAATGGAAAAATTATCTGAACAAATAATAAAGGAGAACTTCCCCAATCTGGCAAAGGAAATAGACTTCCAGGAAGTCCAGGAAGCTGGATAGGCAGAGAGTCCCAAAGAAGTTGGACCCAAGAAGGAACACACCAAGGCACATCATCATTACATTAGCCAAGATTAAAATGAAGGAGAGAATCCTAGAAGCAGCAAGAGATAAGGGGACAGTCACCTACAAAGGAGCTCCCATCAGACTGTCAGCTGACTTCTCAAAAGAGACCTTACAGGCAAGAAGGGGCTGGAAAGAAGTATTCCAAGTCATGAAATCCAAAGACCTACATCCAACATTGCTCTATCCAGCAAAGCTTTCATTTAGAATGGAAAGGCAGATAAAGTGCTTCTCAGATAAGATCAAGTTCAAGGAGTTCATCATCACCAAGCCCTTATTATATGAAATGTTAAAGGGACTTATCTAAGAAAAAGAAGATAAAAATATGAACAGTGAAAGGACAACAAACACAGTTATTAACAACCACACCTAAAACAAAAGCAAACTAAGCGGACACCTAAAACAGAAGCAGAGCCACAGAAATGGAGATCACATGGAAAGTTAGCAACAGGGGAGTGAGAGAAGGGGGGGGAGGAGGTACAGGGAATAAGTAGCATAGACGGTGGGGAGAAAATAGGGGGAGGGCAAGAGTAGTGTGGGAAATGTAAAAGCTAAAGAACTTATGACACATGCATATGAACTAAAGTAGGGGAAGGTGGGTGGGAGGGCGTGTGCAGGGTGGAGGGGAATGAAGGGGGAGAGTGGGACAACTGTAATGGCATAATCAATAAAATTTACTTAAAAAACCCATCCAGTTCAGCATCCACACTCCCACCTTACCTTTCAGCTAAAATAAGCTGTCCATATTGCCATAATCCCTGCTATTCCCTGTGACCTTTCATCTAGGCTGCCTCATTCCTTTAGGTTTCCTTCCTGAGCCTGAAGCATTTGAGTACGTCATTCCTGATGAAGACATTACTGTCTTCTTGAGAGTAAACCCTGTCCGTCTTCTCTGTGTCTTGGTACCCAGCCAGGGAATAGAGTGGGAAAGGAGGAGTGAATGGAGGAAGGCCCTGAGATTCAGGGTGCAGAGCGTGGAGACACTCTTGAGGGCTCTGCCGCCCAGGGAAGTCTCTGGGGCAGTTGAGGCACAGAGATGTGCCTACTCCAGCCCAGTGTTCTGGAATCAGACTGTCTGAGTTTGAATCCCCTCTCTGGCTGTGTGACTCAAGCTCTTTGTGCCACAGGTTCCTGGTTTCTAAAATAGGGATGATAAATATAGCTACCTTAATGAGTCTCAGACGTAAAGCACAGCCAGTGGCATAATAAGCACTGAAACATTAAGTATTATTATTATTATTAGACATTAAGTCTACTGTGTGCCAGGAGCCAGAGGGCACCCAGACCATTGGGACTGGGCCTTCCTTTTAGGGGGGGTGTCTACCCAGGAGAAAGCCATACTCCAGAGCAAAGCCATACTCTCGACTTCCCACTCTGTTAAGACCTGGTTTTATGACAAGGGCTAGACCACTTACAGTTATTGAGGAAGGTTTAGGGAGGAGACTTGAGGGAAGTTTCAGGCCCTTACAACCACTCCCTTCTTCCCTAGTTTGCAGTGGCCTCCCAGGTGGGCCCAAGGCTGGCAGAAGGGCTTTTGGTGCAATCTCTATCCTTCTGGCCTGGCTATAAAAAGTGGCTGAAGATTTCCTGCGTGGGGGAGGTCCTTGGTGCCCCCTATTCCACAGCCT